CTCCCGAAATAGAGACGAGAATCAGAGGACTGAGTCTTCATTCTGGAGGAGGAAGGTCATTGAAACCAAAAAGGATCTGGGATTCTCCTATCCCGCTTCGGAGGCAGAGTCTTCCGTCGGGAGCGTTGGCCCGCTCGCCCTGCTCGAGCCGCTTGCATGGTGGGGAAGGAGCGATATGCCATAGAGAAAGGAGCACTGTAATTGCTTCTCAATCTTCTTCAAAGGAGGAAGCGGAGACGTATACTAGGTCAGACGGACCGAAAGATCGCCCGAGCGACCGAGACATGCAGACAGATGGGCGTGCGGACGACTGGAGTGAGGGAGATATGAACGAAGGAGGAGAAATTGATTGAGCTGGAGGAAAGCATCTTTTTATTCAAGTCGAGTCGACTTCTCGCCCACTTGGGTTCGGTCGGGATATGCCACAGTGTTCAATATTTAACCAACGACTTCTGCAGCGTGCGACCTACAAACTCCGCGGACTTTCCCCCGCTGCCAGTCGGATGTCCCTGCCAGCAGCGAGAATATGAACACAGCGATGAAAGTGCGCATTCAAGGGTGTAGTGGCGCTGGCGGCGGGCGCTCAAACAAATGACTGTTGTTGAGAGTTTTTATTTTGACTCTACGTTGGCCCGATCCGGCTTGTTGAGTGTAACGACCTAGAGCACTTGTACATACAGCTCAGTTCGATACTCGCCGCGCGCAAAAAATTCAGTTGGAGCTCAAATGCTCCGCCTCCTCCTGGAGAAACCTCATCAGAGTCTGCAAACAGTTAGAGCTGCATTCGTAGTCATTATCCATAATTGATCTGACATTGGAAGCTCGTGGAGTTCGTCGCGCGTTCTCGTCCAAGGATGCAATTTCAGACTCGCGCGGGCGGTCTAAGTGAATCCGAGAGGTGGAATAACAAAACGATGTATGAACAGAAGGAAAAAACTCCGGTCGAAGTCCTCTGCGAAACAATTCTTAGCGCCATATACGACGTGACGCGGTTCGTCCTCGAGCGGTGGCTTTCGAGGACTTGCACAACGTGAGACCATGCGGGGGAATCGAAGTTTCCCGATGCGAGAATGAGTTCTGAGAGGAGCCAAAGATGTTGTCGCGTGCGAGCGGTAGAATGCCCGAGAGCTTTGAGAAAACTTCGAATCAAAATTTATTTACCTCGAAGCAACGAGCGCGTTGGCGAACGATGTAACGATGAATGGATGAAGGAACGAGCGGACGGGAAGGCAGGCTCTGAGCACGGAAATTTAGGGTCTGCGTCATGAATATTTCGTCTCACCACACTCCCCGTCCGCTCGCCAGCTTGCACGATGTGGCCTTGTGTTTTATCTCAGCTAGACCGAATTCATCGTTCTACGCACGCTAAGATTCGCCCGTCGAGGATGAAAACCTGTTCGCTAAGGGCATTGGCTGCGGCGGCAGCCGCCGAAGCCGCCCGCCGAAGACTCCTTTTACGTAGTCGGTAACGAGTTTTGGACAAGGATGGAGACTTCGCATAAAATGCGAGTTTCAAGATGAAGGAATTCTCGGGAACTCAGAGCTCGCCGGCCATCCCAAGGTACATATATGTGAGGCTAGGGGTCCACACGAGCAATCGGATTGAAAACTCATGATTCGTTCACCCTTGCGTTGTTGTGGATATGGGATAAGGGAATATCCAGCGATTGGTCCCGCTATCGACCTCCCAATCAAGCGAGAGAGCTGGCAAGCATCCCAGGATCCATCGATTCAGGTTCGTATTCAGAGCCCGGCCATTCCGCAGGTTAGAGGATCCGGAGAGCGGAACGGATAATACAGAACCTTCCGTTCGTGGAGAAATATTGACTGGTCTGACTATCAGATGATGACTCGTATTCGGATCACGTCAGGATGGCGGACCGAGCGAGCGACTCGGCTGACTGACTGACTGACGGACGGACGAACTGCGGAGATAAAGCTTCGCACCTGTTCTCCTTGTGGGAGTGCACGAGAGCAAGTTTTGTTCCAGCGAGTTCTCCGGAAGCAGAATATCGTCGCGGGGAGCACATTCATGCTCAAAGGCCCTACCGAAGTCATCTTAGGGTAGCAACTCGGATCCTCGAACGCAATCAGTCACAGCCATCACGTGCCGCTCTCGTTGAAGCCCCGAGGTGCTTTGAAGGTGTTCCTTTGTGCAAAAACTTACCCTGTCCTCTCACAGACGAAGGTTCCACGGCTGAATTTTTCTCAGGAGCCCCGATGATGGCCCCGCCATTGGACACTCCGCCCCTGTGGTGAGAAAATCGAGCTGGTCCATTGAGAGCTCGCTTCCATTGATGGGCTAGCGAAATCCGTTCATTGAAGATGCGACCGAAAGAGAATCGCCATGTTTTGTCGAAATAACTCTTTATTCAAATTTGTCTCTCGTAATTTATCTCTCACTTCTTCTTTTCGATACACAATTTCCGTCAACGGGCAGAGTTACAAAATGTCTGACTTTTTCCGTCAGCAACTTTTTGTCGGCATCTTCTCCGATTAATTGCTCCGAAACGATTCGTATCATTATTCTCTCATGGGTAGATCTCTAGTTGTTCGTCCGTTTACTTGCTCTACGCCGCACTGCTCCCACTTCAAACAAAGAATTGTGACTCCTTTTCGAACGACATGCTCGGGAATCCCAGAGCCTCGTCCTCGATTTCCAATTCTGAAGTGGGCCTACGGTACTCGATCGATTGTTGCTCTCAAACGATCAACCGGCCATCATCGTCGTCAATATTAAAATTATCCTCAGAAGTGTGTATTTCCGATCATTTCACGAAGTGTTTAGCAAAAATATTTACAAAATCACATTACACAATTACATCATGATGAGTTGTTATGAGTAGGCATCACGCAATCTTAGAGACGGTAGCACACCTATTTCTCTTTTCAAGTATTTTTACAGCCCGTAACGAATACGCCAACGACAGACAGGCAGAGGCAGCGCTTGAACATGCAAAAACTGAGGTAATCATGCTTTTTTGATGGCAAAAAGAAAGGTGGGTCACGGACAGCTGTATCAACTCGTTCTGTTCCAGTCGTTGCATGGATACAGCCTAATTTTCTCTATGCTGGAGCACCTCCTAAAACGACTATCTCTATTACGAAATGGCAAAGCTGACAGCAAGCTTCATTGGCAGCGGTGAAGGAGTAAGATTATTTGCTCATTCATCCATGGTTTGTTTGATTTCCGTGTCAATTATGATTGTAGGTAATTAATATTATAATTATTATCCTTGTTTGTTTGTGCCAGCGTCAGCAGCGAGTTGCGCGAACCCAGTCTCGAAGGCTAATTCATCAAACAGAACAATCACTCGCTCCGAGTTGAATACCTAAATTCGTGAAATTCGATGGAAATGGATCTCGTAAAACAAGAAAACAAAAATAAAAGAAAATAACAAGTCAGGAAACGAGCAAGTCAGGGTTAATGAGCATTTCCCGAAGCTTTGAGCGTCTTCCTTCTGAGTATCGCCAGATGGATTGCATTCGGCCCTTGGCATCGCAGGTTGGAAAACTGCAAGCATCCATCGAAACGCATGGATTCATCGCTCGATGGAGCGACGAATGAGCTCGATCTCGCAATTCCTTCGCGAGGACGAGAAAAATGATCAGGAAATGTTCGAGCATCGTAACGGCCTTGACGAATATATTCTCATAAATAGACTGACTCTGACTAAGGCGGCCGCTTGCTGATGAGTCAAATCCCACGCGGAGTGGACACCTATTCCACCAAACACGCGACTTGTGGCTCTTGTCGAGAAATCTCTAAGATGAAATGCTATTACAGCATGTGACTTCCCATCCAGATGTCGATGACCAACAGGCGGTAGTTTAGGTGCGAGCAGGAAATGAGTAGGCTTGCGTGGGAAATCACTCGACTGACCTTGCGGTTCATGTGTCCAACTGAATATACTCATTCTTCTAATCATTCATCAATTCATACCTCCAGAAGTTCAGAACGTACTTCTGATGTTGACACGGGCTGGGTCTCTTCGTTCATGACAAGCGCTGCGACAGCGGATGAAAGAACAGACCCTGGGCGGAAGTTTAAGGGTAAACGCCTCCCGAGGAAGCGACTATAGTTTTCTACATTAGTTCACAAATCACGCCGTCGTATACCGTCGTCTCCGTGGTGCTGAATATCTTCGCTTCCTACGTCTGTGTACATCGACCGGTACTAGCCGCGTTGCTGAACTCATCGGAGCCCTGTATCTTGTCTCTCGAAGCTTACACAAACTTTAAATATTGAGCTGGTTTAACGGTATTCAAATCATGATCATCATTATTGTGAAGCTTCCGTAGAGGTAGAAGCGAATTTCCGCATCGGCTCCGATTCCAGTCCTCGGGATTGAGAACAGATGACAATACAGTCAGCGAATGCGACGGATCCGGCGACTGCGTTCACAGTCAGGTCTATTTACAGAACCTTCGAGAACTTCCGGATGGGGTTCCGAAAGTTTCCTTGTCATTGAGAACCTTCTCGGAGCGATCTACGCTGGCTGTGGATCGGACAGACCCGAAGGGACACTCCTTTTTTGATAAAGATGCTGTATGCGACACAGTGTGCCGGTGATGAAACAGTAGCGTGACAACTCATCCGCCGTGAGTGCACGTAGGGACGATGAGCGCGTGACGCTTGGCGATGGATTTCGATCAGAACGATGGTCGCCATCGAAGAAGGACGCAATGTTTAGAAGGCACTTGACCGACGAAGACGTCGGCTCGTCGGACGACTCGAAACGCCGGTAGAGACCCCGGAAAATCTTTGAAGCGATGATGAAGTTGATGAAACCGATGAGCGACGCTGCTCACAGTTCTGTCTGTTCACGGCGGGCGCGTTCCCATGACGAAGAATATTGACTCACGGACTTGCTGTTGGAGATAGGCGAAATCAATAATGATCTGTACAGGTAACGAGGAGCATGCGATTTCACGATGCTTCCAGGTCGGTCACGATGATGACGCTCTTCTGTCGTCTCTTCTTTCGTATAAAGAGAATTCTATGAAGGATCCCCGCCCGCTTGCACCACGAGGGGTTGGGCGATCGCGATTGGGGCCAGAGGCAACTCTACCATGGCGGGAATCGCTCGCAACGCTGGAGGCAGCGTCAATACTCTTAAGTGCAAGTTACGCAAAGTATCCGGGAGAATGAGAAACAAGATCGCGTTTACAGCGAGGGCCATTACGAAAACCGACATCGCGTACACTGCTTCCGAGTCTAAGTGAGCGCCGGACACCGAGTCCCTGGTATGTTTGAGAATTTTCCGAAATGCTAAAGTCGCATTCTTTCTGAGTTTACGGATCGGTGTAGAATCGACGCGAGCTACCGATTGCTGAACTGCGACTGACTGGGAGTTAAGTGGAACGGTGTGAAATTATTATTAGTGAGCGAGAAAAAGAAAAAGGGAAGAGTTCTTACATTTTGACTTACTTGTCTTCGTCCTCGTCCATCCAACCGTCATCGTGACGACTACCGCCATGCTGCGAGTAGCGGTCGTAACGGGGGCTTCGAGGACGATTCAAGGTCGAAGCTCCATCGGGCGCGAAGTTGCGCTTCATCATTCGTGGGTTCCCCCGACTGGTCGAGTAAACCGTCCCGGCGATGCTCTGTTCATCGTAGTCCATGCTGTAAAAGCGTTGCAAATGATACATCAGCTTTACATTGGAAGTGAGATAGAACTCGAGGTTCACCGATCAGAGTGAACTTGATTCGAATGTAAAGCATGCGTTGATCATTTCGGAGTTGCCAGCAACTGAAGCGTTCGATTCGTTATGGCGGAAGGCCTTAGCGCGCTCATTCCCCTCAGCCGACTTATCAAGACCCTCCGCGTAGTGCCGGGAATACGCTTACGATCCTACGCGATTGGGCGTATAATTTTTGAGGCGTCTGCTTTTTCAAAGTGGCGATCGAGAAGTCTTGCAGTTCACTCCCGACTCGAATTTCAACCCTGCAGAGCGGAGTCCGCGCGAGTCGGCAAACTTCTTCGGACGGGAACGATGTTCGCGTCCGGCGACTGTCGCTATGCGAGCATTCCCAAAAAAATCCAGCCGAGGGTCGGTCCGTCCGTTCGCCAACCGCGCCGCCCGCCCGCTCGCTCGCTCGACGGTCCGACCATGGGAGTTTGTCGCGGAGGCAGAAATTTCGAACGGGAGAGCAGCTCCAAATTTAAGCTTCTGCGAGCAAAGCCGCGTCAAGTAGGCCTGCTAGTCAGCCAGCCGACAGTTAGACGGAGGAGCCACTCAGTCCAAGTGGAACAAGCATAATTTCAACCGCTGGCGCTGCTCGTTCAAACCAAGCCGGAGCCCAAGCCCGCTACGGGCCAAGGGCGGGGGACTCAGTCAGAGATATACATCCACTCGGTCAAAATCTCCGTAGCGATGACCTCTGGAAGTTTCCAGAGGCCTATTTTCATACACTAACTAAGCGCTCAACTTCTGACCATGCACTCCATCGTGGGCATACAGGGGAGTTGGAATTCCCCGGCTCTCTAGAGAGTTGGCGAGCTACCCAGCTCCTTTGATTTCCCGACTCCGATGTCAGTTCGTATATTTTCTGAATAACAGATCGGCGCGGGCGGCGGAGCGAGTATTTCGGGAGCGAGCCGATGCTCCGGAATAGCCAGAGCTCGTTTCGATCGATTCGGGTGAATCGTCATCGCTTATAATTAGTTTATCGTGCGCGGGAATCTAAGCGTTTCGGGAGTTAGGTACAGATTCCGAAGCAGGGAGGCGGAACAGCGAACTTGAGCAACTACTAGAATGAACACATTACGTACGGAGCATCGTCGTGGTGTACGAACTGCATATGCGACGGAGGTCTGGAGCTTGCGATAGATTGACCAGTGCGCGACGCTGTTCTGTAGCCGGCTGGAACCATTCCAATTTTCGGAGGACCAGTCATCATGGGGTTCTTGATGCTATAGAGTCGTTGTTGTTCCCATGACTTTTGACGTTTGCGCAGTTTCCTGTAACATCAAACCATCAAATGTCTAGACGACGTGCACACAAAGACCGTAATCTGATTTCCTGCTGGATCCAATGGCTCAGTATCCTTCGGCCGTTCCGGGTAAGTTCACCAATCTTTTCATGCGTCGTGTTCTTTCCCGTTACTCCGTCGGGATTTCTCCTCTGTCCGGTGCCATATTCGAGAATGATAACGATGACTTTTACGTGTCTGGGACACGCAGAGCCCGAAAGCGTTGATTTTTCATCGCGTTCCAAGAGCAGGAATTCCCGTTTGTCCTTCATTACGACGAGATTACGCCTCGCTTCTTTGAGAGAGAAGACGAAGGGAAGAAGATGAACAATCCTAAGGTTGAAGGTCAAGAACTCACTTTCTCTGGCACGAAGAACACAACAGAACGATTCCGAGAACCGCGCCGAGGAAGATGACGCTACTGAGCGCAATGATGGCAATCTCCGTGGTGCCCATCTGAGAAATTTTCTCCTGTACAGATACGCCTTGAATTCGTCGGATACGGAATGAGTCCAAGTATCTCACAATGACTTGGGAGTTCTCGTTGAATGCGCTGGAATGGACAATCAAGAAGTGAATCCCCGCAAGAAACGTATGAACTAGCCCGTATACTTCGTCTTTTCCATCTGCCTGACGATGCTGCGAGGGAGGGAAATGGGTCGTATGGGGGACACTTACTTCAACAGCGTTTCTGTGTCCACGATTTCGTTGGTGCTCTTGTCGATTGCGTAGAGGAAGAGATCCGACCTGTCGGGGACAAAATGCATTGAGCTCGATTCAGGGTTCAGCAACTCCGATCACAAGCGGAATCGCGGACCAAACAAGGTAGCGGATGAAAGGCGGAATCGAAGCAAGAACTGAGTGGGCACGTCCCGAGATTCTCGGAGCTCGCAATTACTCCAACCGCTCGGGTTTGGAGCTCTTCCGAACTCAGGTAAGCACGAATTCACAGGGAGCCTGCCTAGAGTAACACTCACGAGTCGGGGTGTTCTGTGTCCTCTTCGTGGTGAGGCTCGAGCTTGGCCATCTTGACCTCGTAATTAGTTATGTTCCCTAAATATCCGAGGATTCGGTCGATATGTTGCTCGACCAACACCGGTGGGGTGTCCGTGACGAAGAGGACGAGCTTGGTTTCCGGGAGAACGTAGACCATGATCGAGATAATGGCCGAGTTTCCACCGTCGGATCCATCGCGGTCGGTGGCCTTCACGTCGAATGTGTACATTTTCCCGCCATCCAGCGAGAAGGTCACAACCGATCGAATCACTCCCGTGATTGGATCGACTTGGAATTTGGACGACGCATCTTCTGACCTCTGGACGATCTCGTAGCGTATGTTCCCGTTGGTTCCCGTATCGGCATCTCTGGCCTGGAGAGAATTCGAAGGATTCATTATCGTCAGGCCGTGCCGAACGAAAATTGCTCGTCGGACAGATATTGGTCAGAAAAAGGGTAGGGGCTCGATTGTCGAGACATTTACCTGGACTCGGGCGACTTGGTACCCGAAGGACGCCTCGAGTGGAACGGCAGCGACGATGGGTTTGCCTCCGTGCTCGAATACGGGCGAGTTATCGTTCTCGTCTCCGACCTTTATTGAGACGACGGTCTCGTCGAAGGCGATATGCTGCATAACATCGAAGTCTTCCTCCTTCTTGTCTTTCCGTTCTCGGATAGATCTCTTGCCTAGCGACTTAGATGCGCGCTTGCCAGAGCTGACCTTGACTTTGATCAGATAACGTGCTTTGGTTTCGCGGTCGAGGCTCGAGGTTACCGAGAGGTGTCCGGATTCCGGTTCGATTGAGAAGAGACCGTTGTATCTGTCGTTGACGATCTGATACTCGACGGCTCGGTGAGATATCTCGTCGGTGGCGTTCAGGTCGAGGATGACTTGGGGCGCGAGCTGATTCTCGAAAACGAGGACCTCGTACATTCGAAGTGGGAACAGACGGACCCCCTGTCCGCTACCGACGATAATATTCACCTCGGCCGAATCAGATCTGGGCGGATCTCCCTCATCGCTGGCTTTCACCACGAGTTTATAGTGCGAGTGCTGGGCGCTATCCAAGGGTTTCGCCAATCGGATTTCTCCCGTGTTCGGTTCCACAGTGAAAGTGTTGTCCTCGTCAGAAGCTGAAAGCAGAATTACGCTCCGGTCGTAGTCACCGATTTCGTAATTTTGCGAAGCTTAGCCCTCCGTGTCTGAGCACGCAGAGTAGTTCCGTGGAGAGAGGACGCGAGCCTGCTTCCGCCAACGAGTTCTGGCCGTGAGATTACGAAAAGAGAATAAACTCGGATCTTTCGAGCCTCTCTCGTGCTAGTCGCCCTCCCCTACGGACTCAGGTCGCCTGAGTTGCGAGAAACTTCGAGCGTGGGATCGGCAACGACGTCGATCGAGCGTTCGTTCGTTCCTGAGGCTAAATTCGGAACAAACGTGCAAGCTGTCTAGCAGGGGGAGGGAAGAAGAAAATGTCAAAATGAAAAACATTCCGAGGAGCTACTTACTGACTAACGAGTAGTGGAAGTTCCCGGATCCAGCGTCGAGGGTGAAGACGACATCTCCTACTTTGGTGTTCTCGGCGACTTCGAGTGTATAAACGGACTTGGCAAAATCGGGAATGACGTCATTTCTGTCTGTAACTGTCACCCACAGTTTGGCGGTCGCACTGAGACTTGGCTTTCCCTGATCGTAGGCGATCACGGTCATGTTGTAGAACTCTTGCTGCTCGAAATCAAGTTTGCTCAGAGTCCAGACCGTGCCATCCTTCGAATCGATGTAGAATCTGTTGTCGTGCCCACCACCCAGCTTATAGAAGACGAGACCGTTCTCTCCAGCGTCCGGATCAAAGGCTCGAATCTGAGTGACTTTCTGGCCGGGATCCATGTTTTCGGGAACTTGTGCAAGATAGGGATCGGTGAAGAACTTGGGCTTCTCGTCGTTGACGTCGTCGATAACGATCGTCACGTTGACGGTGGAATTTTGAGGGACCTCGCCGTTATCGAGCGCGAGCACTTGGAAGAGGTACTTGTCCTTGGTTTCGCGATCGAGAATACCGGTCGCGAAAAGTTCTCCGGTGTGCACATCGATATGGAAGGGTAGCTGCTCGTCTTTTCGCACAAGGAGGGCATAGTCCACAGCGCCATTCTTTCCTTTGTCTTCGTCCACGGCTCGAAGAACGCCGAGGCGTCGTTTGGTCTCGCGGTAGTTGCCTTCCTCGATATTGAAGTTGTATTCGGATTTCACGAACGTCGGTTTGTGGTCGTTAACATCGAGGACGGTGATGTTCACTTGAATGACGTTGGAGAGCCCTTTGCCGTCAGAAGCGGTGATATTTAGGTTGTACACCGATTCGGGCTTAAGAGTTCCTACAACGAACAGTTCTCCACTCTGTCGATCGATCCGAATGTTTCCGGTCCCGCCTGAAAAGGCCGTCGCACATCATTGTTACAAGCTCGAATACGATCGCGATGATCATCATCATCATCATAAACGTCGTATTTTTCGTCAATGGAACGAGTTTCTGACGTCGCATGTGCGCTCGCGAGGGAAGAAAAAAAACTGCCCAAGCGATCTCGCCAGCACATCCGGGGGCAGAACGAGTGCACTCTATCCGAGTCCTCTGACGGAGAAGGGTCGGCGATCTTTCCAGTTCATCCACCGGGGGTAGGGAAGTCCCTCGGCAAGGGGAAGAGTGGGGTTGTACTCACCGGCAGTTATAGAGTAATCCACCTTCGAATTAGATCCCTTCTCATCGATGTCGATTGCCTGAACCTGTGCGACCCGCGCACCCGGTCGAGCTGTTTCCGGCAGGAGAACCTTCAGCGGTCCGTGCTGGAACACCGGTGCGTTGTCGTTCTCGTCTTCGACCTTGATGGTGAGATATGTAGACGAGCTGAGGTTTCCGAGATCTCGCGCAGTCACCAAAAGCTCATATTTGTCTGTGAGTTCTCGATTTAACGTCGATATCGGGCTGCCTCCGGTGAAAATCACAGCACCGTTATCCAGGATGGAGAACAATTCAGAGCCAGGACCCCCGAGCGAGTATGCGAGTATTGAATTGTTTCCTGCGTCATTGTCCACAGCGTGGATCTGCGGTTTCTGCGAAAAAGGAAAGTCATGAGCCTCGCGCGTTTTCCATTGCACCTCGTTACGCTGAGCGCTCTAGCGTTTTGTTCCGCCGTCCGGACGCAATCACACGGAAGTTTGAGGCTCGAGCGACTCAATGAACGACTCGAATGAATTACTCACGATCGTGACCGTTGTGCCTGGCGGCGAGTTCTCTTTGATGACTCCTTGATAGCTTTGCGAGAACGTCGGGATTTCATCGTTCACGTCAACAACATCAACGCTGACTTCACTGACCGTCTGCGAACGCCAACGAGAGTGTGAGATAAACGAATGTCAGACCGAGAATACCCCATCAGAAGCGCCAGGAGAAAATACTCACGACTTTTGTTGTCGGTCGTCTCTCCTCCAACATTACTGTGAAGGTGTATTTCGATCGCTTTTCGCGATCGAGCCCGACTTTGGTGTAGATCTCTCCGTCTTTTGTAATGTTGAACAAAGTGCGTACATCAGTATTTACAATGGAGTATCGCATTTGTGAGTTCGCGCGGGTCTTCTTCGATTGCAGTTCCACCTGAAACGCGTTCGGACAGTGTGCTTATTCAGAGCGTACGCCCGCCTGAGCTCGATAAAGCTCTGGTTGAGTGTCGAGTTTTTCCAGAATGACAACTCAAAATGTAAACTCTGTCCATGTCCGGATAAGTGTCTGGAGTTTATTGATCCCGGACGGGACGAAGCACACAAGGATTCCATGCTGGGGAAGGATTTGGAAAGGAATAACCGAGAAAAGGTGGAACATATTCGAGGGTCCGGCACGCGAGTCGATACGCGCCGCAAGGGACCACGGCGTCCGGCTAGGTCCCGGGGAGCCTCGGAACATAGGGAACAGGTTGGTCCATGCTAGGAGATCGCTCGCAGATGGCGCAATCAAGTCACAGGCACATGAGCTGCTTACCGTTTCAAAATTCGTCCTATCTTGCCTGCCGTGGAATTCTAAACACCTTCCATCGTTCAGGCTGTGTATGCATGTGAGTAGGATACAGTATATGAATACATGACAATAAGCTCATAGAAAGTTTCCCTAGGAAAATTATCCCCGACGTCCCTTCGATCAAGGCTGCCTGAGCCTGGCAAATTGTATTCTAGAGAGAGAGAGAACGATCGCGGAACTAACCTGTCCAACCACAGCTCCAGCGACGTTTTCCAGAACAGAAAACTTGTATGTATTCTGATTGAAGCGAGGATCTCGCTCCTCTGCTTCGTGCACGTAGATCTTCATCGTGGCCTGAGCATCCCACTTTCCGTCACTCGCCACGAGAGTGAGCGTGTACTCCTGAGACTCGGAAATATCAAGATGCCGTGTGACGTTAATCGCTCCACTGACCGGGTCAATCTCGAACGGTACTGGAAAACGAGGACCGTTATCCTTATTTTCAGCACTGTGCCGTTATTCCTTCCGCGCTAACGGATCGACCACATGCGCAAGAAGCATCGTCTTTGCGAATCAAATCAGACAGTCGTGAAATATCTTTGAGCACTCGAGGCGAGGGCACGTGAGGGGCCTCAGCGTCCTAATCAGCGTCACCGATGGGTGAGCCAGAGGGGACCAAACCTTCAAATTCCCCAAGCCAGAGCATTCGGACTGTGAAAGGATGCGAAAAGTAGACCACTCACTGGTAGGATCGTTTCCGGCGAATCGGTATCTCATCCTTGTGTTCGCCGCCGTATCGGGATCTGTGGCTTTCACAGTTTCCACCACGGTGCCGATGGGAGCGCTCTCAGAAATGAACTGGTAATAAGCCTCTCGCTCGAAAGATGGGGGACTGTCGTTGACGTCGTGGATTACGACAGCCACCGTGGTTGTACCCGTTCTCGAAGGGGTTCCCATGTCTCTCGCAGCCACTATGACAAAATGGAGCGCGGTGTCGTCCACCTTGTATTTATCTCGATCCAACTCAGAAACAACCTTCAGCAGAGCACCATGTTCGTTGACGCCTAGTCGGAACTGATTCTCATTGTTTCCATCGACAATGTAAAGTTCTACTTGGCGATTGATACCTGAAAGGAAGCCACAGGTGAATTATTGGTTCCGCGAAAATCTTCTGCCTCCTCCAAGATGTAAGTAAAGGAACGAGCTTGGAGTATTCGTCTGGAGGTGGGTACGAGCAAGAATCTCACCGTCATCGTAATCGGCGACGGGGAGTTGAACGAATTTGTTCAAACTAGGTCTTCCTTCCGTAACGTTCAGGAAGAACGTGTCGTTGAGGAACGTTGGCGTCCAATCGTTCATATCCAGGATCTTGACGTTGATCGTCGCACGTCCCGTGTTGTTCGCCGAATCGATGGCCACAATCTATGGAGAAAGGAGACGACTTATTTCCGCTCAGAATGACTAATGGAGTGCTTCTCCGACGGACACTGGAAAACCATCCGTCATCCGAGCCGGCACAACGTTTGCGGAATGTCGTTCGGCGACGACAATCAACAATAGGACTCCCGTCGACCTTGTGAATCGTGCGGGCCATGCTGAGGCACAGTACATGAGCGGGATTCGAGATCGACAATAAGCGATCCAGCGGAGCACACGGAGATGGCTGCGTTTCCTCAGACTGTTCGTGTCCTTGTTGAACCGACCAGCCCCGGCCGTGTCTGTTGGCAACAGCGGAGCCGATAATCGCTCAGTCGGTCCACGACGCTGTACGTCGAACGACTTCGACGTCGCTCGTCGACGGTGTTATTTTTTCCTTCTTCCATGATATCGGGCCTCGAACGAAATTAAAGCAAAGTTTTGCACAACTCAAGCAGGGAGCCTGATCGAAAGCTCGATCAATCAAGCAATCTCCGGAGCAGCAGCGAAACCATCGCTCGTCCTGGTCGACCTTCCTTCCCCTTATTGTTGTTCCAGCGCGCCGCCACGATACGATCAAACAAATCCACTGAACTTCACCAGCTATCGCGGAAAGCCAATCGGAAAGCTCGTCTCCCTCGGAAATCCGTCTCCGCTCCATCTTCCCCAAGATCGCGCGGAATGAAACAGGAGTAGAGCTAGGTAACGCTTCGGCGTTGACTTGCCGAGACAGCAGGTCTGGAGAAGTTCCTCTCATGCCGTCAACGGAATTGAAGCGAGCGGTCGCATCGATCTAGGAGCATTCTCGCTTTGAGTGACACTTCATTAGGGAGCTTCATGTGTTGACGAAGTTGATTAGTGGGGAATCTACTCTCGAGTGCTCAAGTCTCTCCAGAGACTACTCTCGACGATATTCCTCGCCTCGATGCGACAGACGTCAGATGAGCCCGAAGACACGAGTCACGGTTGGGAACCCTGAAGCTATTAGAACCGGAAAAGAGTGTCCACTCGAGCGTTCCGAGACTTTCTCGAAACGGTTCGCGATCGCTTTGCATCGAGCGACGGAAAAAAATGGATCTTTCATTCGGATCGGGATCAGCTTCGGAAAAAAATGTTTTGAAACAAACTGATGATTCTCAATGCGCTCGAGTGCGTCGCTTCCCGGCGTGTTTTCCCCGAGTGTTCGCGTCGTGCTGCAGTGACTGCGTCTAGGTGGTCGTTTGTCTGTCCCCCTGGCTCGCTCTATCGCCGACCGGCCAGGCTGGGCCGGGCCGCCCGCTCGCTCACTCACTCCGACCCAGGAAGCGGCTTCTTCGCTGGCTAACAGATCGCTATCATTTCCTGGCAGTGAGCCGTCACCGAAGGAGAATAAGCGACTGAAGGCAAGACTAGGATGGGGGACCGATGGCCTCTAGTGGATCCGTCTCGCCCCGCCTCCCGGCCTTCTGCCAGCGCCGTAAACGGAAGATTGGCTACTGGTGCGGGCCATTCGATCCGATTCAGCCGCTGTCAAGAGCTGCTGCCCTACAGCGAATCTAAACTGCAATGTACCTCGTCGAAGTACGATAGTAATCCTTCCGCAGGAATCTGGTCGACTGCGGGGTCCGCGACGAGCGAGGGTCCCCCTCCGGGGGAAATACGCAAACCTCCGTCCCGTAATGAGGGCAGGGCGATTGTAATTGGCCGACGTTCCTTGCTCTCATCATTAATCATGGGGATATGCTCACCTTCAGGCTGTACGACGGAGTTTTCTCTCTGTCGGGAATAGTTTTCACCGAGAGAATTCCTGAGCTTTCGTCCAACGTGAATTCCTCTTCGGAGTCTCCCTCCATGATGTAGTAGCGCAATTTGTTTGAGTCGAGTCCGTCCCTATCAGTCGCGGAAACGTGAACGACGACGTGTCCGGGGGGCGTGTTCTAGAACAAAGGAAAAAATAACGGTTGAATGCAGTGAGTCGTCGTCAACAGTCAGCTGCTACGCGGCAACAACTTGCCCACTTTTACTACCATTGCTTGTTCCTCACGTCGTAAATGCAAAGAGCTTGTAAGAGCGGGTAGACAACGAGCGTGTAAAGAGGAAAACCGGCGGATAAATCTACCGCAGAGGAATTCTTCCGTTCGTTCCGAAATCGGTGCGAACGACCGACGACGATCGGAATCGCTCTCCGGGAGTTGGCCGTCACGTAAATGACTCTAGAAGCTCAACGTGAATCCCCTCGAGGTTCCGTCGGAGTCTGCCGGAGTCCTCCGTTTGCGTCTCGGGCTCCGCGCGAAAGAATGACTAGTTTTACTAAACGAGGCGCCGGAACAGGTGAGGCAGAACGACCGCAATCACAGCACGTCACGAAAGGAAAGAATTTCTTTCATAGATAGTTACCATCAAGAGCTCGTCTATCGCTGAGTCCTACAATTTCCCTCAGACCATTCCGCGACGCAGCGGTGCCATTCAGAATTCTTGTCACGTCATTTTCGCGAAATTCTTGAGAGTGTCGTAGCAACGGCTTTTTTCGCGGCGAGCCCGTCTACTGCCGCGGAATTGAACGAGCGGCCGTAATGCTCTTGGAAACGGAGAATTCCCTCCCTTTGAGGTTCTAGCCGCTTAAGCAACCGGAAGGTGACTCAGCATAGGAACGAGGGAATTTATTCAACCACGAAACAAAGTGAAACCATCCACGGCCTCTAATGAGATTCACTTCCGCGCAGCTCTCGCAAGGCGATATCGAGTCCGACCGACATGGAGATGCTGTCCCACTCGATTTGCCAGGCGATCTGCAAACGACCTCTCCTCAGCCTTTGGAAATCGACGAGGCTGTCTGACCGCCGGCGGGCGATGCCGGCGGCGCGGCGGGAATCGAGTCAGATATCTTGACCTTCCAATTTTAAGTGAGTTCGTCCCAGACTCTGACTGAGAGTGACGACCGTCGAAATTTTTCCTCAGGCTGTGAAGGCAACCCACGTCTCCTGCCGCCTGATCTGACCCGGCTACATGACTTACCTCTTCCAGTTCAACATTGTACTCGGACTTGTCGAACACCGGACTGTTATCGTTGACATCCTCGATGTGGATCCGAACTCGAGTGTTTCCAGCACACTTCGAGTTCGAGGCCGCAACGGTGAGCGTGAACACGCCCTGCAGAAAAGCGGGCATGGCGTCTCGATCGACGGGTTTTTTAACTTTGAGAGCAACAACATTTTGCGACGTGTCCAGGAAGAAGTTGTCCTGCGAATTGTCCTCGGTGATTTGATAAGAGATTTGCTGTAAGCGATAGAGAAGAACAAAATTAGATGACTCGGAATCCATCAAGGAGGAAGATCCTCAAATTATGTCGATTATGAGCGTCCCGTTCCTCGGCGCAGCTCGAAATGCTAAAAATTCGTCCTATATCGACCATCAGTTCTGGGAAGCCCGGGGACCTGGCCTCCTCATTCGAGCCGGAGAGCGAGAGAAAAAACGTATCCGAGTCGGATCCGTTTTTGTGGACACCGGGCGCCTCGGAATCCGCTCGTGGACCTGGGAATGGGTCTTCGCAGATTCCCATGCGCTCACACCATGAACTCTTATCGGATTCGATTTTGACTGGATTCAACTATCATTCCCCGACTCATGAAGAGGTTAGGGGTATTAAATTGTATGCCGAAGCCATAATATCTGGCCAGAGCTCGACGAGCCGAACTGTGATCCGGAACTTCTACGGAGCGCGAGCGATTAGGGACGAACGTGCAAAGTTATCTTTCTAGATGAGCAGAATAAGTCAACCAACCTTCTCGAATTTCTCGGCATCTTCGGCGTGCACATTGGGGAGGACGATACTGTCGGGCGGAGAGTTCTCCTGGATAGAGGCAAAATATTCCGAGAAGGGGAATTTCGGACACTTGACGTTCTTGTCCATCAAGCGGATTACCACCCCGGCTTCTGTGACTTCGGCCGGGTTCCGGCGGTTCGTCGCCAAAACCATGAAGTGGTAGAGAGACTGTTTCTCGGCGTCCAAACGCGAGGTTGTCACGATGCGACCCTGGTGATAGACGACGGCGTTTTGCGTTATTACCCCGAGATCGCGCGACGCGCACAGAATGCTCTCTGATACAACGAATTGAATGGCGTCCCGACCGCAAACGTATCGGTTTCCGTCTGATGCTGTTGGTGATGTGCGGTACAACGGCAGCCGCCTATTCCACGGCAGTTATGCGGAGGCTTGCTGATGCAAGCGACCAGCACAGCTTCCCGATAGCTACGTGCCCGCTGGCGAAAGCATGGCTTACCGTTTCATGATTGATAGAAAATTTCCTGACGTGGCTTCCGTCGTCACCGGTGATGTTGTACCAAACAGCCGAGCCGTCCGGAATAGTAGCGCGCGCATCTAGAGCCGTTGCTCCGGCTTCGAGGACGCTGTTTGTGTCGATCATGTATTGCACCGAGCTGAAGGCTGGGGTTGGATTGTCGATACTTTCCCGGAATACCTCGATACGCATCTGTACGTTGCTGTGAACGACAAGGATAAATTCAAAATGACCGTACGGTGTCCAACAAGCACCTTATAGGATACCGGGACATCGGAGCTTGTCCCGATAGAGAGTTCCTCGATCAGTCGATCCAGATACGTTTCCCCGTTCTCCATGCTTCAGCTGAATTCATGTACAGCATCCAGGTACTTACTTGGCCAAAGGATACGTGGAGCTGTCAGTCGCAACGATGCGCAGGATCTCAGCGCCGACCACCAGCGGCTGTGTGGCGAATATCTGTCCCGTTTTCGGGTGGATCGAGAACCGCAGCGAAGGCGGATTCAGCTCGAATTTTATCTCATTGTTCCCGCTCATCGAGGAATCGAGATCCTGAGCTTGAACTTTGTAAACGATCTCGTTCTGAGCGGTCGACACCGGCACTCGGAGAACCCGCGGCAGCGAGAGGAATTCGGGAGCGTTGTCGTTCACGTCGTTCACAGTCACTTGGACGACAGTCGTCGCGTACTGCTGTTCTTTAGCGTCGTCTCTAGCCTCGACAAAGATTTCCAGATGTTTTGTCTTTTCGTAATCCAATGCCTGGACTAGAGTGATCTTGCCTGAAGTCTCGTCGATCTTGAACGCGCCCTTCATGCTCGATCGTACGATGCGATAGAAAACTTTTCCGGAACGGCCTTCGTCTTGGTCGCTGGCATGGACTTGAACCAGAGGAACGTTTGCGGCGTTTTCGTCGACGAACACGCTGTAGGCGAATCGCTCAAAAACAGGGGGATGGTTGAGTGTGTTCGAAACCCTGACGAAGAGCATCGAGCGACCAATGTTCGAAGTGGCTCCGTGGTCTTGTGCGAAAACCTCCATTTCGAACGAAGCGTTATTTCCCCTCCGGGCGTTCAACAAACTGGAGGCGAGTCGGACCAAACCGGTCTTCGGATCGATTTCGAAGATGCCGTGAGTGTTCTTGATCCAGTAGGTGATTTCACCGTTGTTGGCTGTATCGAGATCGACTGCATGGAGTTGAATTACCGAGCGACCCGCCTGGGAGTCGGTGGGAATGGTGACCACGTAACGCTCTTTCTCGAACTTGGGCGGGTTGTCATTTTCGTCGGTTATTTCCACCGATATCGGAACCTAGAAGAACAATTATCACGGCCACGTTACCGGTGTTCCTCGCTATAGCTCGGAGGTCCTCCCTCGACGCGAGCTTATGCCGATGAGGGGCTCAAGTTTAGCTGCTCGGGGTGTGCTTACCTTAGCATCGAACTTTCCATCCTCTGCCGACACAGCGAATTCATACGAGTCCTTGAGCTCTCGATCGAGAACTTTGGCCGTGCATATATCGCCGGTCTTCGCGTTGATTGTGAATGGAATATCTTTGTTCAGGATCTTGTAGTTCAGATGATCGACAGAGTCTCCGGACGTAGCCGAAATCTGAGGAAAAATAGAAATGTCAATTCATCTCCTCTGGTCCAGATCCCTTTCCTCTGATCTCGATCCAGAATAAATAAATGTCGAGAGATGGCAGACTCGAAGAGACTGGAAGATTACAGAGTTCATCCATTTCACGCCCGGTTGGAGCGCCTGGGACGGTCGGTGGCCCGGGCGAGCGCCAGAACAAAAAGCCACTGAGAGCGGAAAATATTCCTCGCTGATCCCGGACTGTTGGGTCATCGAAGCTCTAATCGTTCGGAAAGCACTTCGCTCTGCCTGCTCCTCTTTCTGTGTCGTGGTTGTGCGATTCGCGTTCTGTCGCTCCGAGCCTCCCGTGTTTCTCATTAAGCGACTCATTTCGCTCCCATTCAGCTCATGCTTCAATGCTCGGCGAGAAACCGCCCTTTCGGCTATTCTGCTTATTGTCAGGAAGCACAGAAATTTATCACGGGGGGAACGTCTTTCCGAAATCCAGAATGAACATTCGTGATCATTGATAATTAATTCGAGGGAGCGGAGACAGGTGGACGATCGCGACCCGTCACGGGCCCTTTGCTGCACAAGTCGTCAGACTAGGGCCTCGCATGAAGAACAATATTATCTGTTCGTGTATCGAGCAAGGTCGGGAACTTACGTGTAGGAAACAGTGGCCAGCTGGAAGATTCTCCGGGAGGGAAGCAGAATACGCGGTTTTCGAGAAAACAGGCGGATGATCGTTCGAATCGATGACGTTGATCGTGACCATCGACAAACCGATCAAAGGAGTCAGGTGAGCTGTAACGGGGGGAGCGAGTCACGTAAGTTCGTTTCCATCATCCCGTGACCGGATATCCACTGACAGAAACCGATACTCACAGTCTTTGGCCTGGACGAGCATGATGTAACTCTTCTTCCGATCGTAGTCCAAAAGATGCACGTTGTCCGGATTGACCCGGATTTCGCCTGTCACCGGATCGATCATGAAAACTTGGTCTTCGTTGCCGCTTGTTATGTCGTACGTTATGGTGTTGTTCTGCAAGTCGAGATCGGTTGCGTGCAGCCGGATCACGACCCGGTCCGTGGCGAATTTCTCCAACACCGAGCCCTCGTACGACTGGTGCGAGAACACCGGAGGGTGGTTGTTAACCTCCCGGACGTAAATGGTGACTTTCACGCCGAGACTACGGTTCGACGGAGCGCCGTCGTCGGTCGCCACAGCGACAAAGTGGAAATGAGTCCTGGATTCGAGATTTTTCTTTACGAAAACCCGTCCGTGATCTCGCTCGATGCCGAAGAAGTCTGAAAGCCAAATGCGATTCTCAATTCAGTCGTGTACCGACGTCGTGTACGGTCGTTCGTGTTTTCAGCCGAACGAGTGGACATTGAAAGAGCTCTCAAAGAGTTTTCAGGAACAGGCTCTACGATCCGAGCACGGGTATAAGAAAAATATTTACAACGATGTCCTTTCTGCAGATTCAACGAGCCGAAAAGACATATGTGACCTCTTCTTCTCTAACGCAACTATCACATGGGGGAATCGAGGGAGGCTCTTCTGAAGAAACCTTCCTCCGATATATTCGCAGTGGCTCGCCGTTCTACGAATGATAATCTTATTTTCTCGGACAAGATTTTCCACTCCGATACAGAAGGCTCCATTCCGCTCGTGTAGAATCCCGACATCGGGATCAGTACAAACGGAGCTACGCAAAATTTTTTTCAGAGCCGGCTGGGATTTCCTTGCAAGTCCACTTTGAACGCCCGAGCTTCGGATCTCGAGGCATACCTGTATCTCCCTCGGCGAGCGTGTAGGTAATTTTGTCTCCATCTCTATCTGTGGCCTGGATGTTTCCGACGCTTGTGCCTTGCGCGGCGTTCTCGGCAACTTGGAAATTGTAGGGCAGGCCCACGAACTCCGGGTTGTACTCGTTAATGTTCTGCACGGAAATTACGATTGTGGCCGACCTGGAAGGCGCAATTGAAAACGAAGATCAGACCCGGCCTCGCGTAAACACAGAAGAAAACACTTCGAAAGGGTATTTCGGGAACGGAGCCTGTCGCAGCCGAGCACGAGAACTTCCGAGCCTCGGGCTGCCACGATACGCGCTCGGAAACCTCCGCGAAACGGCAAGACTTTACGGTAAATCTCCGTTGGGTGCTGCGAAATCGAAGTGGAGCGTCGATTTCCGACGACTGCGATCCGTTCGAGAACGGAAGGGAAAAATAGAAAGCGATACGAGAACTCCATCCGTCTTGTCTTCTACTTTCTAGCCCACTCTTCCCCCTGAGCTTCTCTGATAATAAGAGGCGACCCAACCCGAACATGATCTCATTACTCGCTCGCGTTTTTTCCCCGCGAGGCGGTCGACGTCGTCGACAACGACGTGGTACTGAGGAGCGGAAGCGATAGTGTCCTGTTCCTGGAGCTTCAGAGGCGAATGATCAACGATAGCTCGCAGTCTCGGGCGAAATCTCGGACCGGTGGCCGGTTCAGCGCCGACGTCGGGGAAAAGACCAACTCGCCGCTGCGCTCGCTCAACGGTTGCTCCTGTCGTTTCCCTCTCTGCCGGCTCGAGCCAGAAGAGGACCAAAAGTCGTTACTTATTCGAGTTAGCGGCAAACCCACTTACCCAGTCCTTGGCGGAGTCCCTCCGTCAACGGCCAATACGATGAACTCGTGCGATGTTTGCGTTTCGTAGTCGAGATCCGATATAAGCATCAGGGCTCCGGTTTCATTGTTGACAGCGAACTTATCCTCGCTGCCGTTGATCATGAACTGGACGAGGCGGCCGTTTTCGCCGGCGTCGATATCGAACGCCTGATAGAACGCAGGGAGTTCAGTCCCCGGAGGCAGGGATTCCGGCAGTTCGAGCGCGAATTTATCTGCAGAAAAAAGTGCTCGTTGAAGGAACTTCATCCGAATATTGCGTCCTGCAATGATTACTGATGGCTTCTTCGTCGCGTCGAGGCCTGCAGGAGACCATGCTCAATCATCGTGAGGGTCGTCACGCCAAATGAATCGAGGGACGAATATCTTCGGATTTTCGGGGCTCCCGCTCATCAGTTTCGGCAGATACCCCGCTCGTCGTCATCAGCAAATGACCGCCGAGTAGGAGCCCCTCGCGCGCGACCGCCCGCCTTTTCAGAGCAGAAAAATTCAAACAGACCACCAGCTCGCGGGATGACAGTCGCGAAACGACGCCGACGATTACAGAGCTTTGTTGCTGAGTAGACGGCCGACCGACCGACTGACAAAGTGACTGAATGACCGTCAAAATGATGACTGTTGAGGCTCCTCATAAAGCAGCCCGGCCCGCATGTGCGTATGAGCCCACGAGAGCGCTGAGCGAAGGATCAGCGCTAACTCTGTACGCAGTAGGTGAGACATCCGTGATCGTCGTCGTCGTTATCTTCGACGTCACCGTCATCATCGCCCTCTGAGCACAATAGAAGCGCTACCGTTGACGACAGATACACAATGTTCGCAGCCTTCCATTGTCTCACTCGCTACTGGTCCTGATCAATCCGTGTTCCATCCCGTCGTCGGTAAGCACGACCGCCGTCCCCGCTGCGGGTTCCCCTACCCTCGAGTTCGTTCGTGAGCCAAGTTCTCGGTGACCCAATAGACCCGACCGGCGGGGCCTACACCGACTAGAGAGATAATTCGCGGGCAGCTAACGAAGGCACCGGGCAACGAGAACACCGCGGAGAACAAGCTCGCGGGGGAGCGAGCGCACCACCGGTCGTCCGGCCAACGAACTTAGGACAAGGGATATAGCAGTTTGGCGGGCGGGCGAAGGTGCGCTGTCCTTGCACCCTTCCGGACGACGGGGAAGGCCACCGCGATAGCAAAGGCTTCATTGTGACCCATTCCTTTCGAAGTTTTATTTTCTGGTGCATTCATTTTGTTGTTCGCGTTTGCGTACAATTTCCTTCGCTCGATCGAGCGCCCCTCTGCCCCTCGGAGCTCTCCCGCCGCATCGTCAGAATCTCAATCGCCGAGATCGAACAGGGACAATCAAAAATGAGCATCGAGGGAAACAGCTCTACCCCAAACAGCACAGCTCATGGATGACCTCCGCAATTCACGCGGAGTGGGCGCTGACTCGCGAGGTAGATCCCGGAGAGATATGGAATTTTCTCGCATTCGCCCACCCGTTCACCGCCCGGCGGGCTTTCATTTGAAGATCCGTGCAAACATAACAACGACAAACAGAGGAAGACCCAGGTGGCGAGGAACTTGTGCCGTTCCTAGCTTGTGCTGAATTATTGATCCGGGGCTTAGACGGAGGACGGAGCGATTCAACGAAAGAAGGAACGAGCTGCTACGAGAATGGAAGAAGCGAAGGATTACACACTTCAGCTCGCTGCTTTCCTGCCCGCCTGTCTGCCGACTTGCATCGCTGCTTGCCTGGATAACCGGCTGGCTGCAAGACCGACCGCCCGCCTGCTCGCCTGCCTGGCTGACTCGTAGGCTGGCTGACTGCAAATCGAGTGGGCTCTCGACTTGAGCGGCCCGAAGACCAACACGTGCAGCCAGTCACCCAGTCAGTCAGTCAGCGGACGAACGACTCCAAGGGTTCTGGCAGCACCTGTTCTGGCTCGCTTAGCTCGTTCAGACAGTCATTCAGGAGAATCACTCGAGCTGTACATATACAGGCAAACTCTGGGACGGGAAGACTGAGAAGCCAGGAGTAAAGCCCGTCGCGAGTACCGGTCGTTGCACTGACACGTGCATGAGAAACTCGCGACCGGGTGGCTCTCGGTTCGGCCCGTTACGTCGACGCGGTCGTTCTCAAGCAGTCGACAGGTGACTGACTTGATCCTTGGAAGAATGACGGAAATTCGAGCTTGACCGTCGTGAGCTGAGCAGTGACGAAACGACGCCACTGGTCCTGACCGAGGATTGACATCATGGCAACCACAAACCCCTCCGCAGAGGTCCGTGTCACAAAGTCCGCCACGGACGCGATAACGAGGTGTCGGCCTGCCCAACTCGCTCTGACGTTGAATACGCGGGTGCCAGAGAGAACTTGACGGACCGGCCGAGATATTATTTCTCCTCGTTAAGCAGATTCCGCTGTCGCAACTATTTTCGCCCTCGCGACTTCAGTCACGGAGCTTCGCGTCCCGTTGCTCTTGCGCTCGTCGAGCGCGCTCGCGATACAGCTTGGGCAGCGGGCATGGCTGTTCTTTCGTTGCGGGAATGTTCATGAGGGCGAGCAGGATCATCCTCCAGGCACCGGGTATCCCGGCCGCATAACGTTTTGGGCTCAAAGGCCCAGCAGTCGGATACTGGATATTCGGGATCTGGCAGCGCTATTTTCACCGCTCTCTCCCCATAGACCTGGATCGTTCCGAGAATTCATCAAAGTATATCTCGAGGGTACTAACTGGTCGTAATCTGAACGCGAACGGGCCCTTCGTACGCCTTGGCTAAGCCACGGAAGACCATCGACACCAGCGGCGGCGGCAGCAGGCCAGGGTTCTGTTTCGCCAAGCTTCACCGCGTTTTCTCCTCTTATCTAATCCCGCATGGGTCGATGACGATCGTCTGCGTTTGGTGAGTACAGCACCTCACCCTATCCCACTTGAGCCCTCAGGGGGCGAGGGAGACGTTTCTTTGCTGACTCCCTCCTTCCCCGCCTCCACAACTTGAAATGTCGGTCGGTCGCTTGGGCGCGCTCAACTGATATGTGAGTGTAATAATGACTCACCCTCGCCGAACGATGGCGCGTTATCGTTGATATCAATTACGTCGATGACGACCGGAACGGAGATATTCAAATCGCTAATAGATAGCACGTCTCTCGCGAGTACTTGGAGAGCGAACTGTCTCTGACTCGCGGGAGGATCCCGATCGACTTTGTCCATGAGCACCAGCTCTCCGGTTTCGGGATTGATCCAGAATTTCCCGGCGTCGTTCCCGTCCCCGATCCAGTAGGTGATCTGCTGGTCGTTCTGTGCCCGAGAGGGGCTTGAGGCGCGGATGTATCCGACAGTTTCGGAGCGCGTTGTGTTCTCCAAGATGCGGAAATGGTACTGCGTGTGCTCGAAGAGGGCAGCCTCATCGTTGACATCCTGCGAATTCGAAGAATTGAGTTTCTCAGAAGAACAACTCCGAACGGTTATGCCGCCAGCCGGCGTCGCAAGCGGGGCGAGCTCAACAAGTTACCTCGAAAAACTCTACTTGGGCCCCCACAATGGCCGAGAAAAGAAAAAACGGAAAAGCGTTCTATGGGGTGAAACATTTAGAGCCTGTCATCGTCCTCTCGCTTGCACGGTCGCTACTTCGCGTCTCTTTTCTGCTGACCTGAATCTTGACAACAAGGTTTACGACCGGATTTCCGAGAGTGGAGGCGGTAGGCCCTTGGAAGGGCTTAATGTTGAACGAGGCGACCTGCAAAGAGTACTCGGGCTTCGTTTCGTAGTCGAGTTTCTTGGTCGTGTACACAACACCGGTGTCCTCGTTGATTTCGAAGTTCTTTTCTTCGTTGCCTCCGATGATTCGATACTTCATGACCGCATTATCGCCTTGATCGACGTCTTTGGCCTGAAATAGAATCCAGCTTTGAATCTCTTCGTTTGTCAACTTCTCCACAGCGTCTGCTCGCCACCTCCGCCTCTGCTGGACGTTGGCGCCCTATCGAGCTGCCCATTCACCCATCAACCCATTCATCTCACAGCATTTCAGCTTCGACTCGGAACGAGACAAAAACGTGTTCCGCAGCGTAACTGCGCCCCCCCCCCCTTCACCCTCTCCGACGACGGTTCACTCGCGTCCCTCAGAAGCGAAATGCTCGAATTGCCGGGTCTTGATTCCGACAAGCCAGGCGTGCGTCGGCCCTCCGATCCGTCCGAGTGAATGGAAGGACGAGGACATGTGGAGACGCATGGAAAACATGCGGTTCCCCGTCAAGTGCCGCCGTTTGCCAAATTGGGCCTGGGACACATGGAAACAGAGAATTGACTTCGCGTCTGTCAATTAACGTCAATATTCGATCAGTAGCTGCGATTGTCGTCTCGCCGTCGTCGTCTTCCCTCTTCGACGTAGAATGTCGAGGTCGTTCGTTCGCGCGCCCGGTCCACGGCTCGAATGCCGCGTTCCTCGGTAGGTTTGTCATGGAGATCTCATCAGAAGCTCGCCTTTGTTCGTTCGCTCGTTGGATTCGGCCTCGCAGGCCGCAATGCAAACTAGCTTGAATTCTGCATTGGAAGTGTGGGGGCACCGAGCCGTCCGTTGTCCCGCGCGCTCGTCTATCGTTCCCTAATGAGGGTGTCGAGGATCACGAGGAGTATGTGCGTGTCTCGTAGCGTAAGAGGAAGAACGAAAGGAAGGAAGGCTTTGACGAGGAGCATCAGCCGCCTGTTTTCTTTTACAGAATTTGCATGCTGGCATTCAGTCCCGCTCATTCGGTGTCTGTCCCGGCATTCTCTCTCCGACGGGGAATAAGGAAACCAGCGCGAGGAATAAGGGATGGGGGAGTGGGGCAGACAGAGCGTCCGAGAGAGAGAATGCCAGACTTCGTCGTCGTCAAGAGGAGGAGGAGCAGACAACGACGAAGGAGAAGGGAATCCGTGTAAGGATCGGATAGCGGGTTGGGGAGGTTTTAGAGAGAGCGAGAATGGCGGAACAAAGCACGGGAACGGGCGGACCGTCGGTCGACCGTTCGAACTGAATGAATGAGCGCGCGCGGAGCAGCCGAAACTTGCTTACAGGACGACAGAGGAGGTAGGGAGGAAGAAGGCGTCTTATTTATCCTCTCTCTGCTCAGACGACTTGACAGTAAGAGAAAATCGACTCTTCCTTTCTCGCGGCCGCCGCCACCGCTTCTCCTGCTGCCATGTGTCTCTCTGTACGCGCGGGCGTGCGTCTATTGTGATGCTGATGTTAATATTCGATCAAGGCTCCACTATCTGCCCCCTTTGTTGGAAAAGAATCTCGTCTCGGTCCGCAGGGAAACATCACTTTTCCACAATGAGAGCCACAAATCGTCGTCGCGCGCAGTTGTCGTTATCGTCGTCGACGCGTTTGTCAGATCTCCCTATCCCAATGGGAGCCGGATACAACATCGTTCCCCCCTATTGCCTTCACAATCGATCGCAATGGGTAGAGCTCGAATGCTCCGGATTCTCCTCTCTGATTGTCCGGCCGCGACTCCGTATCGGAATCTCGCGGACAAAGATAGTATCTACGAGCTATGTCGACGCTATCGGACATGTCGAAGGTGTTGAAGGTCGTGTCGATGGCCTGTCGCGATCGGAAGCCTTTCCCGTGGAAGCATAACGCGAAAAACGCGAGCGCCCCCCGAGGTTTCCAGGATGTTTCCAATCGGGAAGGTTCCCCTTTCCCCGAGGAATCGACGGAACCAAAATACGAAAAAGTCGGCAACCTAAGCAAAGGTGCTCACCTCGAGTTTGTAGACCTCTTTCGGCGGATCAACTTCCTCGGGGATGTTCACGAAGAAAGTGTCGCCCTCGAAATAAGGCGGGTTGTCGTTGATATCCTCTACGCTCACAGCAACCGTGGTCGTTCCACTGAGCTGTGGGACTCCGCCGTCGTAGGCAATCACCAAGAACTCGGTCTTTCCCTCAACTTCTCTATCGAGTCTTCGTCGCGTCACGATATTTCCATCGTCGTCCACGACAAATGCGTCGTTGGCCTGATCGCCTAGGATTATGTATTGGATCTCGGCGTTCACTCCGGAATCACGGTCGATGGCCTTGATGGTCCCCACTGTGGTGTTTTCAGGCATTTCTTCGACGACGGTGAAGTTGTAGTAGTTATGAGTGAATACGGGTTGTTGATCGTTGATGTCCACCACGTGGACAGTCAGTGGTGCGACGGCGGTCTGTAGCACGGGGAGGAAAGGAACAAAACTCGTTTAGAAGCTCTTCTGATAGCTCGTTCCCAATCCGGAAGGTATCAGTACTTGACGGATGATCGGAAAATGAGAATGAGCGCGTGAATCTCAACGAGTCGATGACGACCGAATTCGGCGACTGTACTCACGTTGAAGCCGTCTGAGACTTGAACCAGTAGATCGTAGGCTTGCTTCTTCTCGAAGTCCAAAACTTGGAGGGTGCTGATAGTACCGGAGTGTGTATCTATGCGGAACAGTTCGTCGTCGTTGCCCGCTATGAAGGAATATTGGAGCAGGGAGTTGGCGTCGAGATCCTTCGCCTGAAATCACGCGTAGAGAAAAAATCAGTAATTAGAGTGATGAGAATACATAGACACTGACCAACCAAGTAAGCCGGACCGGTAGAACGATCGACCGATCGATCGATCGATCGTTCGTCTGACCGAGCGAGGTCCGAACTCTCGGTGGCCGTCGTTGCATAATAAATGTCAGCCTACTAACCTTCACTTGAGTAACGAGAGCTCCGGCTGGCAAGGATTCGCCCACGTGAGCCTCATATGGAGCATCGACGAACTCCGGCACGTTATTATTCACATCCGTGACGTCAATGTGCACGACAGCAACAGCCGTTCTGGATGGAAGGAAAAGCAGAAGAGAAAAGCGATGATTAGCGTTTCGCGCTCAATGACACTCAATGTCAAATGACCGACTGCCAAAACAAACGAGCACTCAGCGAGAACGTTTTCAATTTTGGTTACGCGGTCTCAGCTTCTTCGCCACGATGATAGTTGTTCCCGAAGGAATGTGCATAATTTGCTCGTTTGTGCTGTTTGGCATCGCCGGCCAGGACTACGCGACGCGACAGGGAAAAGGGAAACGAGAAAGCAGCTCTTGACGACCGAGCGGTCCCAACAGCGGCCCCACGCACGCACGCGAGCACCGGGAGATTGGACGGGAGTCGCGTGTCAAATGAGCAAATGAGCACGTACCTTCTCTCGTGGGGGTTTTTGACGGAGTCGGAAGCGATCACGAAAAACGTGTATCTATCCTGCTTGACCGGGATCTGCGTGAAAGCGTTGAGCACGTAAACGGATCCGTTAAGAGGATGGACGTCGAAAGGAACTCCGTGACTCAGCGTGTCGTTCTGCTTGAAGAAAACGACTTTGCCATTGTCGCCCATATCGGGGTCGATGGCGACCACCGATCCGATAACTGTTCCAGCCGGGTCGGTTTCCGTCACTCGGAATGTGTAAACTCCTTCAGGTACGAATTTCGGGTTGTTGTCGTTGGCGTCCAGCAGGTAGACGATCACCTCAGTTGCACTCGCTTTCGCGTCCGGAAGCACGTTGGGTTTTCGTTCGAGAGCCAGAACTTTCATGATGACCTTGTCGGTCTTTTCCCGATCCAGCTTCGCAGGATCGCGGACGCTAATGGCCCCGGTCTTGTCGTCGATGCTGAAGCCGCCACTCTCGTCGATTAGGTGATAGACGAAGTCGGCGTTCTCACCCTACGAAGATCAATGGGCATTCATGAGCGTGTCGGGGTTGAGAGCGTGAGATATCGAGACATAAAAAATGTCCAGCCATCTGGGATGAGGAGATTATTCACTCACCGAGTCCTTATCGACAGCATTAACTTGGACGACGGTGAAACCGGTCGGGAGATTTTCCATGACGGTGATGTTGTACATGTCGTAGTCAAAAATGGGGATGTTGTCGTTCACGTCCTGGACAGTGATCTCAACCTTCGAAATCGCGTACCGCAGAGCGTTGTCCATTTGTGTTGCCTGTATCCGAGAAATTCCCATTCAACAGAAGCAATTATCGCGGAAGGAACGTCGGGAAAATTATGGGGAACTGTACTGGATCCAAAGGAATTTCACGCCTGGATCGCGAGCTTATCAGCTGTGCTGGATCAACTCGAAGAAAAAAGGAAGCCACCATTTCGCAAGCCGCGATTCCGCACTTGAGATAGGCTCGACCGCTCGAAGAGATTGGATTTTGCAAAAGTAAAAGCAGGCGCGAAACTTGAGAACCTCAGGCGCCGAAAATCTCAGAAAGTGTTGCCCTGACCAGTCAAATTCATCACGCCGATGGACGAGGCGGAGAAGGGAGCCCCCACAGTATTCCCTCGATCCCGATCAAGATGGGGTTTCGAATTTCATTCTTCAGTTTAGTCGCGCCTACCCACGCGACCGCATCGAGTTTTTTCGGGCAAGTTTCGAGTTTCGAGTCTCGAGCCACATCAGGAGCCGTCTATTCAATCTCCCTCTCCGTATCAGCAAGTTTCTCTGGGAGAATCTGATACAACTGCAGGAACCACAATCGAACTCTGCTCCGTCTACTTCGCGCACCGATATCTCGGTCGGTTGCCCGCACGTGCAGAAATTTATTCGACTTGGAGAGCTGGAGTCTCCGAGACGAGCTCGGTGGGCCGGAAGCAAACAGAATTCCCTCCATCCCCCGTCTAAGTGTCTCTGCTTGTCTGGATTGCCCCGGGTCGAGTTCTAGCTGTGCGTCAACCAAAATCTCCGCTATCTCGTCGTGCGTCCGCGCCGCGGAAAACCGATTTCAAAGGAACTTGCGGAGCTGGTACGGAAAGTAAGTCGGGCGGGGCCGCTCTCGACTCGCGCCATAGTGCCATTCCATCTTTGTGTGCGTCTCCGCATCGAACACGTCCAGCCCGCGTGGGCGGGGCGGGAGCGAAACGATGGAACGACATCATGGGCATCAGAGAAAATACGCGAACGGGGTACCCAGACAATAACATGCGTGAATACACGGAAACTCACCTGAACCTGGAGCGTGATCGTACTCGAGGGCAGACTCTCGAGATCGACTTCACGAACCATGAAGAGCTCGGCGGTGTGTTCATGGAGTTCAAAAATACCGAGTTCGTTGCCTGGGGAGTGAAAAGAAAATACGAAATCAGAGAAAACCTTCGATCGACTGATCCAGCCAGGGCGAATACTGGGTGTCCCTCCGACCCTTGTCGGGAATTGTCGTGCGTAAATTGATTGCTCGATAGCTCCGTCACTCGCCCCCGGTGGTGAGAGCCATTCTCCACAGCGTTTGCTTTTCTCTAAGGACGGCCGGTCCTCCGTCTTCGGCCTGCGTCGTCGTGTGTTCGTCATATTTCCCGCGGTTATTCCTTCAGTCGCTGTTGTCGTCGTCGGCACGGCGGTAGTGGTCGTTGTCGTTGTTCTATTTGTTCAGGCTTTGCTCAGGCTATCAATCAACAACACAACGATTCGCTCTCCACCGAGGTCCTTCTCATAGCGGTCGTACTCGGGCAAAGAGCCGAACAAGCATATTTTTCTCCGGCTACCTAGTATGTACAGAAGACGCTCATCGACGAATGACCTGTGGACGGACGGACGGACGACCGACGAAAACACTGACCGACTCGATATCTGAGCTGTCTTCTCTCATCTCACTGATATTTCAATCTTTGCCGTGATTCCCCGCGGCGGGGACGACGCGCAGCGATTCGGCGTAAAACCGTTCCATCTATTTTCGAATGCGGACAAACCGCACCGATGTCACAAGATGATTAGAGAAAATTCCCGCGGAGTCAGGAGCCGATCGGCCGTTCTTGGACTCCTTGGCCGGCGAGTCAGTCTATAGAGCGAGTCAGTCTAGTGCTCAAGATACCGCTCGGCCCCAAGCCGACGGGTCGCTTTCAAGGCCATACTCTCACTTCCGCCTCTTTTCCTTTGTGACGCCCCCCTTCCCGACCCGGTCACTATCCGCTCGTTTTCTTGCTCGCTCCAGATCTCCAGAGCAAAAACGAACACCGTTTCACCGGGGACCGACATGGAAAATACATCATCATACGTCCTCCTCAGCTATCCCGCGAATGGCTCGGCGAGGGTCTCTAGCTATCGCTGACGTGGTCCTCGTCGACGCCGACTTCTTTGTCTAGAGACTTCTTAGCAGTCCCAAGCTTGATGTGTCTCGTCGTCGTTGTCCTTGTAGTTTTTTCCCTCGCTGCTTCAAGAGACAACGAGAGGGTCGGATCGACATTGAAGTTCATCGTTGCCAAGCGAGTGAGTAAAAGGGTGAGGGAGTAAGCGAGCGAACTCGGCCCCATCCACTCGTTTTCCCCTCCGGTCCCTTTACTACTCGTTGCAAAAGAACACGCGGCTTGAGAAAGCTCACGATCCGCGAGAGGATAGCGGTCGCCTCTCGACGACCGTAAACTGATGTATCCGATCGGCGAGAACTTATTTTCCTCACTTGACGGAGAGCAGTTTCAACAGCGGCGAGCCCCGGGCCTCGGCATCCGGGAGCATAAAGGAGTCGGACAGGGCGAAAGCGCGGAAAAAACGGATGAATATCTCGCAGGCTCATGAGCGGACTAGGCATTTAATGCGATGCTAATAAATTCACAAATAATAAGAAAAGGAAGAGATTTGAATATCTGATGGCAGGCATACCCGAGACCAAAGGAGCGGCCTACGAAAATATGCTACGGACCCGCTTTCAATACGGGTCGGTGGCCAGATTTGGCTTCCATTTAGAAACGCAGCCGCTGGCCGCCCTCGGCAACGAAGAAAAAGCCGATTAGAGACCACAATGCCCGCGACCGCTCCCGACTGCCGCTAGTGAGGCCGTCGACGTCGTCAGTGGCGGCGGCCGCGGCGATGTTGCCCCTGTCTTTGTCAACGGACATCGTTCCATCACATCACAGAGCCATCAACACTGTTTCTGCTTCTGTCGTCATTCGCAATTTCGGTCTCCATTCGATCAAGGTTCCGCGACGCGAAGATGGCAACGCTAGAATATTTGTCCTTATTCGGCCCGTTCTCTCGGGACGCTTCTCGATCGGGTTCGATAGTATCGACTCTTCTGAGGCCGTCGTCGCAATCGTTCTCGACGGCGACGTCATTCAGAGCGGCTTAGAAATTCTTCACTCGGACGACGCCGGCGTTAGGACCCGTAGACCTCGGACAGGCCTGGCTTCGACGGAACATTGCCGACGTGGTCTGATGGAATAGCTACGATCAGACGAGACTGGAGCGCTAATTACGTTGAATTCGCTCGCTCACCATGAATTATAGAGTAGCGAAGCGGGGTGTTGATTCCCAAATCCTGATCGAATGCGTGCACTTGAGCGTCGGTTTTAACCCGATTCCGCAGTCGGGCTCCCTGAAATTTCCAACATAGGTTAGACGAAAGGGCTCCGAGGCTCTCGACGAGCTGCATAACCGGCTGAAAACTTTTCCTCGGAAGCGATAGATTTTCGACACAGTGATCTATACGATCCTCCGGAATCGTGGAAATTTCCACGTGGAGTTTTCTCGCAGGATTCCTATAGATACGCCTCCATTTAGAGAATCGAGATTCCGTGTATCAAATCCATCATAACTTCGGAGCAATGAATCAATAGAATCTATGGAGACCAGTCCGACTGTATACGCAGTACGCAGACGGCGAGCACATATTTTGCTTTGACTGGAAGAATAAGTCTCCCGGAACGCTCAGGGCCGTCGAGTGGACTCAACGAAGTTCACGGGAGTATCGCATCAGCAGTCCACTGGGAGCTGCGAAGATAATCAACGAAGAATCGTTTCGTCGAGCAAAGAAGAAAAAACGAGAAGTGAGTGCCTCGCCAGGCAACCGCTGCACAACAACAGACAAAGTGAGGAAGAGGAAAAGGGCGAGAAACGAAGGAACGTTGCGGAAGAAGTTGTTCCAGGCGACGACTCAGAGTTTCCAGCCACTCCTCCTCCTCCTCGTCGTCGTCGTCGTCAGCCGAACAGCAGCAGCCGCAGCAGACAGCCGGGGAGACGGGTGGCCTACCAACTTAGATGACTTCAGTGTGAACACTTCTTTGAGTCGGAGCTCATTATTGCTATACGGTGACGACGGCACGAGCCTTCCCGACGAGTGGGGCGGCTAGTTTTCACGATAATTGGCTCCCTGTTTGAGCGGCTGTCTCGGAATCGGTCACTCAACGTATGGCCGTAGACCACTTACGGTTATCTGGGCCGACTCGGTGACATTTGCATGGTATACGGGTTTCGTGAAGACGGGATTCTGGTCGTCAGCGTCCTTCACTCGGATCGTCGCCTCGGTGTTTGTCTGGAAACTTTCGGGCGAGCCATGGTCCTGCAAGGAATTCCGAATGCTTATCATGAACACGAAGCACAGAACTTTCCCGATCGACGTCTGCATGAGCAGTTGAGCGCGAAAAGAGAAACTACATAGCGAAAAAGAAAAAAAATACGACGGTTTGAGGGCGCTGTGGACCACCACGCAGGGTTTTGCAGTGCAAAAGCGTTTTCCGAATGAATGATTCGATCAGTATTGGATTATATCCAAATTCGATCGTGGATCAAAGCACGGCCTGAGTGAGTATCTTAAGGCGGTGCGTCTGTGGGTCGAGGGAGCGGTTTTTGTTCCTCTTTACCGATTCTATCTGCTTCCATGTCCGTTGCGAACATGACGAACTGTAGTCAATGGGGCGGCAACGCGAACGAGCATCACGACCGCTAGAACAATCGATTGATACACCGTCCCCACAGACAGACGAGCGAATGAGTTATGTAAGAGCTTTTTTGTTTTTCTCTGGGCCAATCTGATTTCAGCATTTTCTGTTGGTTTGGCCACACAAACACGAATTCGTACAGATTGCAGCCGACAAAAAATGTTCCGAACATTCGCGAGGGCGCGAACCCATTCGTAGCCGATTCCGCTATCGGACGGAATCGGTTCCGAGCTACATGAAGCTCCCGAGATTGAAGTCTGATTTCTGCAAACGAGAGCAACAAACTCACTCTGGCTTGTATCTGGAGTTTGTACACCCGCGTTCCGTGGTCGTAGTCCAAAGGCTTGTTGATAACGATGATGCCCTCGAGAGGATCCGAGAGCGCGAACGAGTTGTTGTCGTTTCCGCCCTGCAAAACAAGACGGTCATTTTCCGTTAGAGCGCGGTCCTTCTGGAGGAGAAATTGAATTCAGCAATCGATCGGCGACATGACAACCAAGCCAGCAGAACTACCAGGACTCCTTGGTGAGCAAGTTTTTCTCTTGAGCCTAATTCAGGTGGCTGTGAATACCGACGTCTTGACCCTTTTCTTTGACCCGGAATAAAGGGCGGAGAGGCCGTATCCGATGAATCTCGATAATGAAACGAGAAGACCTTCATTCCGAGCCAAGGACCGCATTGTATGAGCCGAGAGTTCCTGTTCACCGGTATTTACCGCGGTGCGACATTACTATATCGTGATAATAATTCTAAGAAGGCTGTTTACGATTCTCTCAGTAAACGGAGGGTAGACGAGCGGTCAGATGGACGATGGGGAGGCCAGGTAAACATACGCGCTCCATTGTTGGATAAGAGAACGAAAACGACGACAAAAAGACCGAGCCGTATAGAGGGACCGCGACATCGTTGTTAGTCAGCAAGCCTTATTGTGGTCTAGCAATGTACATCGCGCTGTTCGTTCGGCCGCTGGGAACGAGCGAAGGATGGAAGGAACGAACGAACGAGAGCGAATGTATGTAGGTGGCGGAGCTGCTCCTCTCGTGGATACCTGGCTGGCTGCTCAGCAGATCAGACACTCGTACAAACCAGTCCGACGAGCAACCCAACGAACAGCGAGCAGGCTAAGCAGTCAGAGAATGGAGCAACGATCCATAAAGGTAGTAGGAACTGAGTAAGCAAGTCGGACGAGTATTACTCGAGTTATTATTGTGGAGGAGAGGGAGACGAATACCGAGGGATGAAGAGAGATGGGAAAACGACAGCCCGAGATGACGGCGGCAAACAAAAGTGCGAACGAAAGCGCCCGCAAACCGTCCATACCTATTACCGGCGTCGTTCGTCCATAGCGCAGGCCGTAATCCCCCTTCCGATAGGTTGATCATAGGAATGAAAAAGTAGAGGACGGAGGGGATGGACTCCGGGAACCAAAAAGACTCCCAAACCCGACAGCCCAGCGGTTTGCAAAACAATTCACCACTGTCACCGAGCCAGCCTGTCACGGCTTTCTTCAACACCAGCCATCTGAGCGCGCGCCACATCGGGGCTTCCGTTGGTATCGTAATTCGGGAAAAGCGACTCGGTCGGGAGACCAAGCAATGCTCTCTCCCCTTGAGTCGATCGCTCCTCCTGAATAAGGTGGTCTGGTTGAAAGAGGTGGGAAGGATAAGGAGATGCTTGAGTGACAGTCGAGGAGACGAATGCATGAAGATCTGATGCGAGGAAGAAGGATCGCCACCAGGGGAGGGCATCGAAGCCGCCGCTGTCTTGGTCCTTCCGCTCTCCTGCTCGCGCGTTACTGGCTGCCCGATCACGGGACAGGTCGCTATCGCTCGCTAACGAGATGCTCCACGGACATACTCGGATGTCTCATCGAAGATTCTCATCCTATGCCCCAATCTCTGGTGAGCCTCATGCGGTCCGGCATCGTTTGAGCACGTAATAGACAACTCTTCCCAAACGTCCTGAAGTTCCGGGACAAATAGGGGTTTTGCTTGCTCGGAGAAACGAAAACGCGAAGAGACACGGACTCCGTGGATAATAATATTAATGATAAGGAATCATTCGATTGTCAAGCTGACAGCTGCTCGAGCGCGGTCAAACATATTCTGCTTTCATGGTGGACACCGCTTATTACGATATCAATCGTATGTCTCTCACGAGCGAAATAGATGGTCGCGAAGAGCGCAGAGAGTGGGGTAGCTGAGTCGATGGGTAATCGCGGCCGTCCCCAACCCATTTCGGTGCCGCGAGACCCAGGAGTCAGCGGCAGCTGCGAAAGCCGGGTAGGCTTCCGCTCCATGCAATTAAGGATCAGGACCAACGGTCCGCCGTCACCCCTTCCCGGAGCTGTCGTCGACGTCGCTTCTTGAGATGCGACCATTCTGATTATAATACACAACTCGCTTACTACACATTTCCTCCTACATCTTTTACGCGCTGTTATGTATGCGCATAAAATGAACTGCTTGGTCTCCAGTCGCATCTCCCGCTAGAGCAAGCGCCGGTATCCGTGGCGTTGATGGGCCTGCTGCTTCCTCTTGCCTCCCCTGCCCAACAGGGGAGGCAGCAAGGAGATCTTATCCAGAGGGCGTTCTCAATATGGACACCAATGCTCGACATCTGTTTTTGGCCAATTAGTAATAGCTAGCGATAAATTTTGATTCCGATCCCTCTGGAGTCTCTCGATCCACGCTCACGCCAAGCCCAATCTCGGACGAACAATAAAGGTGCTACCGAACGTCTGTCGCTCGGACGAGCGGCGGCAGACTGTCAAGCTCCATTGACAGCCACATCAAGGCGGCCGATGTAAATTTTATGCGTCGCAGAAGTTTGCTTCCGCTCCACGTCGAAAGTTCATTCGGGCATCGGAATCGCGTGATTAGAAATCTCTCTCGCCGCATTCACTCACCACAATGGCGTAGGTGACGTCGGAGTTCGGCGTGTTCGGCTTATCCCGGTCGACGGCGTGAATACCTCTGAAGATCGTGAGTCCCACGGGAGTGAGCTGAAAGTGAAGACGAGATTCAGTCAGAGAGGCAGAACGACAGAGGACAGATAAGACTGACTGAGATACCGAAGAACGCTAGAACGCTGAATTGATTAGCTGTTCCCCGCATCGCGTCGGGGGCCGTTTCACGGTGCCCTTCGGTCCCGTCCGTTCGATCATCGGCTCGCTCGGCCGGTACACCCCCGATCCCACATACTCAGCGATCCAGTTCAAGCACAGCTATCCCCCTATCCCCCTATAGAATAAAGCAGTAATGTCGGTCCGTCATTGTACCAAATATCGGGGTTATTTGTCTGTCAAAAGACTTCAAGTTACTTTGACTCGATGCCGAATCATTCCCGCTAGCGTAAGAAGTACTTTTCCACTCGATCAATCGCATCGTTCTCGAGTTATTCCGGAAAATTATCAAGTTTTTCTCCAGTGTTCGTTGGAAACGAAATCCTCTCCACCACTTCTCTCCACATGATGCCACGACCGTTCCGGCAAGGCGCGCGATTCGAGAGACGTCGCAGCAGCCTACTAATTTCAGCATGATCTAATTTGATAATGATAATTTCTCCCCCTATAGAATAAAGCAGTAATATCGGTCCGGCATTGAACCAAATATCGGGGTTCTCCACTCGATCATCAGAGGAGAATCGAGAGCTACGAGATCGAACGTAATGCTTTCCAAAATTTCTTCTATAATTCTTTAGCGTATCTGATAAGCGATGCCCATATATTTCACCTGTTTCATTACTGTGCAATCATTTCTCCTGCTCCATGGGAGCGATGGGAGAGTCCGACTCTGCACCCATATATCTTTTTGAACTCCAATCAGAGTTTTCTGTCGTGAACATCTTCGACAAAAAGAACTTTGGGACTCACGCGCGGTTTGCCTACATTCTTCGAGAGATTCAGTGACAAGTACGAGAGACCTAAGCAGTGTTTTTTTGTGATCTGTGGAGTTTCGTCACGAGGCTCAGAGGTCTCCTCATTGAATTCGCCATGCCCAAGATAAGTCGGAGGCGTTGCTTCAATTCGCCCGCGAATCGACCCGTGAATAGAGATTCCAAACTGTAAGCACAGTTGTGAATGCTCATGCGACGTGCTATCATTCAGATATCAGATAGGCATACATCGGACAAAGGGAATCTCCATATCAGATATTCCTCAGAACAATAACTGCCGATTACTCACGACAAATTCGTTCAGGCCTGCGAAAGCATCGCATCATTTTTCTCATGCTAATTCATGTGTTCATGCTCTTTGGTGTCGTACTCATTCATTGCGAATCGGTATCACGCTTTCCGTCGTAATCACTCGACAAACTCGCTCGGGCCTTGGATAGAATCGCATCCGGCGTGCGGGCAATTGAGCCGCGAGGGCGCGGAGCGCCCTCCCGGCTCGTTGATAATAAAAGCCCAGAGTTTCAACCCGGAAGAGGACAGTCCGGAGGACGACGACCTGGGCGATAGATTGCAAACGGAGGAACAAACTGGCAAAACGAAAATCTTTTCATCAGTGTACAGAGAAGATCTTGTCCGGAGGCGGATTCGTTGCTGCCGCTGATGGCCAACTAACAAAAGAAGTGATAATAATATGGCACCGACCAACGGCGCGGCGGGCCAACCGATTGGACCGAGCGAGGATCCCACGAGTGGACGGACGGTCGGACGGACGGACGGAGAGACGAACGGACTGACGACCGAACAAACTGGCTCGATGGTCGAGCGACCGACCGACCAACCGACCGAACGACGGACCGACTAGCTATGAAGCAGTACGACGAAAGGGTCTGTAACTGACAGCGGTTTCATTAAAGGGAACCCTAGCCGAGGCGTCCAGGTTCACCCCGATTGGACTTAGCAGCAGCTGGCCGGTGGTCTGTCCCGACTGAATAGGAGCTCAGAATCATCCCCTGAATCCATCCTACCACGAAATCTCCGACCTCAAGCGGAACCGATGGGGAACCGAGGGCCCTCCTCTGGAGACCACGAGTAGCTTCCACAATCCGCCGTGGACGACATTAGCGGATTCTCGCCGAGAGCAGATAACGAGTCAGCCCCGGACCAACGGTAGGAGAATGATGATTTCGAGCATCCCGCAGTTGTCAGAGCACCGGCCGAGCCGTCCAGCCAAGACTAAGTGGTCAGAGTGGCGAACGAGAAAGTTGTGGCCCGGTGCCAGGTGGTTGCTACATGAATGGACTCAATCAATGCTCAATACGGCCACCACGCTCGGAGACGAATCCCAAGCTGTGTCTAATCTACGTTTTCGCATCTTCTGCGCGGTCGGGTGAGAACTCGACCGTTACCGCATTGGTCTACGCGATTCGCATACGTATGCGGCCGACTCCACATGCCGTTGAGCAAACATCTCATTCCTTTCTATTCGCGGCTCCGTCGGATTGCGTGAGCGTACGTGATTGCACAAGGAAACCATCTCTGGAGATATCTGCCGTAATAGACCTTGTGGAAAACTAGTCGCAAGGTCAGCCGGACTCGAGCCGCTGGGGCGCGACCACCGCAACGCAAAAGCGAGAGGATGGCGGTGGAAACGGCCGTTGCCGGACGTTACGTCGGCGAGAGCTCGGTCGAGTCAGCGAACGGACGGCGGGCGGGCGGACCGGTCGGCCGACCACGTGGAACAAGAGCCAAGTGTTCCCTCGTGAGCAATCGGCCACGACCTCAGGATCTTCCGTGAGAGCCATAAGAGCTCCATTCCAGGACCGTCTGTCTGAAAGTCGGCTGAATCAACGGAGCGTCGACGACGAGCGCGGGAAAGCGCTCACCGGCTCGACGGATCACGTCGGAACTCGGCAGAGAAGTTTCAGCCGATGAGCTCCCGCATGCAAATAATCTTGAACCTCTCCGCATATTTCCGAGTTTACCGATGACATATCCAGGGACACAGATCGACAAAGAAGTCCAAAACCCTGGACGACGGGACGGCAAGTCGCTTAGCAGTCGATGATGATTTCCTCACCTCGTCAACTTCAAGATGATACGGCGTGTTCTGGAACTCGGGCGCGTGGTCATTGACATCCTGCACGTAGACGGTCACCGGCAGGAAAGCCTCTTCTGATCCTGACGGTCCTTTGCAGGTCAATTTGAATTTGAGCACGCTCTGGGGATCGGGCTGAAATCAGAACGGTGTCTCATTAGAACAAAATACTTGACATATTTATTGGGGAAGAAAACTTGGTCCCGCTCATCGCAGGACATCTGCTCGGAATCGGTACTCGATCAGCTGGATTGAGCGGAGCAGGCATCAAGCGAGCTGGCGATGAGAACTCTTATCCAACACACACCGCTCCAGGTGGGAGTGTTAGCCGAAGTGCATTAGCGGGAGGTGACTGGAAAACAAGCTTGCTCCTTCTGAGTGAGAACAGCCTTCTGTCTCGCTGCCTTTCTCGGCTGCTGATAACGACCACTTATTCGACTTCCGGTCAACTTCCGTCGCCTTCGCTGGCGTCGGATGCCTGGGCCTCTGTCGAGCCTCGAGGAGAAGGATCATCACCGACGGGAATTTTCGACCTTGGTAATAAGTGTGCGAATAAACATTCGCCTCATGATGTTCACCGATGTTTTCGTTGGCACACTCGTCAGCAAGGAGGTTCATATTCTTGTAGTCTCGAGAGTTCGGCGGTCATTTCGCATAAGTGCTTGGGAGGGACGAATCTCTCAAGGGCTGTTCCTTGAAAATGAAAAAGCCTCCAAAGTTGGCTTCACAGCCTCGTTGTCGTGGTCGTCTCCATTCAAGCGAAGCGCAGAGGTACTTCAGCACCACGGATTCCGTCGCCTTCAAATGCGTTGTGCTCGAAGCGTCGGACAGCCGGGTTGAAGCAGAGCTACGTGAGAGGAATAAGGCGAAAAACACCCGCACCCGCGGGTGTCAGGCAAGGGCCGTAGAGGGCAGACTTTCGGAGAGGCGGCGGGACCCGACTCAAGTCAAAGGACGATGCGACCCAGTAATCATTACGGCTTAAAGGATACGGAAAAATCTGCAAATGAATTCTCTTCGGCACAGAAGCCATCACGTCGTCCGCGGACAGTACCGACCTAGGCCGCAACCGCAACCTCCTCTCAGAGATTCGGTTGTCGAGCGCTCGAATCGGCAGGATGCTCGAAAGTGTTGCATTCCGCGGAATGGGGGCACCATGAGCTTCTCCATCCTTTTCATGAAGGTCGATCGAGGGGGAACCGTGCCGTCCCCTTTTTCTTCGTTCCGAATCCCTTTTCCTTCCCCGTAATGACTTTGAGATGTCTTGCTCTTGCTGAAGCCGCGACGCACATATCGTCATCGACCTTGGGAAACGACACTCTCCGATTCCGCTATTGATTCCTGACGCGAAGACGGGAGCGCCTGCAAAGGTCGCTCATCGATGTTTTTGCTGACTTTCGAACCTCGGCCAAGGCTCGTGTCTGAACGGGCAGGAATTGACCCGCCTGAAGTCACTCGTGCCTCCCTGAGGAAGAACGAGCGTACTCGCACGTGCGTATGCAGTTCCGCATGATTCTTTATGCTCGGTCAGACGACATTGCTATGCAGTCTACCGTCGGTCGATCGGCGCTAGACAATATACCGACCTGTAAATATCACGAGCAATGCATAAATCGATTCGGGCCTTTCGCCGACAAGAGCTGTGCCGAGAGCACGGATGTAAATATTCCACCCGAGTCAAACTGTTTTATTCGTGGTCGCTCACCGACCGCTCGCTCTTCCACCAACTGTTCACCGAGCTCTCGTGCCGGGTTCGCGTGTTTCCAATCTCACTACACGAGAATTACATGGAAATGCTTCTAGAGGCGGATCGAATAAGACAGATCGGGACCCTCACCGGATCACCGGATGTCGGAGTTCAGTTCCCTTGAATAATTTCCCATCTGCAGTCGCCTGAGTCGATGAGGGTCCTCAAGTTCTTCCCTAAATGCATTCAAGCACGTTGACGGCGGCAAAAAATCGCCCCCCCCTCCATCCGATCAGAGCTCAGAGGCGATTGGGGCGCGGAACAGCGCGCGGCCGACGAGCGCCGTCATCCGACGCGAGAGGGGAGACGTTTCCCTCAAGTCGAAACAGTACTCGATGCCAACGTCATCGTAAAAGCGATTTGAGTTCGACCATCGGAGTTCCGGGACCGGCCTCCGGGGCCCTGAGATCGGCCATCGAAGAATCGGGATCCACCATTATAAAGAGCCAAGGTCGCCCGAGCCCAGCTCGAGCCGCGGGCCCAGAAGAGGAGTTCCGAGACATTGATGCGCGACGAGAGGGAAAAGACGATTACGACGAAAACGCCGACAATGCCACTGGTCTCCTCGCCGCCATTCCGAAGATATGGTCGATGACTTTCCGATTCGTTTGGCAGCAGCGGCGTTCTTGTTGTTCCTCCGATGGCTGGAGATGGGCACCGTCGCTGTTCGCATCGAATCCGACTCGCTCCGTGAGAGTCGTGCACCGTTCCGTTTGCAAGTTGGGTGGTCCTGTCTCCATTTGCGCTCCTTCATCAGATTAGTTCCGAGCCGTGAGCGGCACCACGGCTCGACCACGCCATTCACTTGTGGTTTTTGCGATTACCGCTCATTTAATTTCCCGAGTCGACGGCGAAAACATCGACGACTCCATCAAGCTCGTTCCCCGCTCGTCCATCAGACCAAGCCTGGAAGAGCTCTCTCGCGAGAGCAGTGGGAGCACTTGGTTTCCCGACTACCGATCGGTTCTGCTTCTGCTCTCGTTGGTCGTGTGTCATTCGTTATGCATCATAACCTTCCGTCCTCTCGGGAGATTTACTTCGAAAGGCTCTTCGCTCGTCTGTGGGACGACGTGTGCTGCGGATGGCCTCGTGAGTCAGCGGGTGAGAGGCCCCGCGAGAGTGTACTCTACTTCTTCGAAGATGGTCGCCGAGAAAATCACCGCTAGAATTTCGATCAGTCCCAAGCCATGTCACCTATTGTCGACGACATTACGCTCCACTGATTATTCTTGCTCCGAGAAGTAGTCCGTTCGAGGATGAGCTAGCGGCAGACACTTAGCTCGGTGGAGGATTCTCTTTGCGAGAGTTCTTTCCGCGAGACGGGGGAAACTCCTCAAGATAAAAGACAGGCGGAGAAAACGCTAAGTAACTCACCCTGTCGACGAGATCCTCGAGCGATTTCGACACCTTAATGGCGACGGTCTTGTCGTCAATGTCGGTGACTTCGAAAAAGTTGGTGTCGGACAAGGAATTATCGACTGCGTCAAGCCGCAGCTGACTGCGCGGATGAACTTCCACTCGAAACACTTCTTGTCCTGCAGACATTAAAGAGAACCTTAGCTCCACTTCCCGTCTCTTATTCCCCCTCCCCCCATATCTGACCGGACCCGAAGGGTCTGAAATAAGCATTCCGACCGTCTGCTCGATTCTCGAATCGGAGGATTTCGAGCGACTCTTCTTGAGAAATGTATCCGACGCTTCCATCGTTGAGCTCTCGGAGACAGAGGATCAACGACGTCACTTACCGACTTTGATGTTCTCCGAAACACGTTCGAATCTTCGGTTTTCACCCAAAGGGTAGAACTGGCAAGCTGGAAAGATGAGAAAGAAGAGCGGTTAGGTATCGATAAGAGCGGGGCGGAGGGATAAGGTATACGGCTTCGGCTCTAAAGCCTGAGTCCGACAGCTCGCAATTCGAAGGACATTTGTTGGTATCCCCGGACGTTTGGCTCTTCCCCTAAGTTGCGGAATCGCAAGGATGATCTCACGGCGGTCTTCATGAATAAATTGATGACATGGAGGGAACCGACGAATAAATGAATAATGAGAGCACAAATGAACAGAGGTATGAATGCATGAACAAGTTGGGGCCCCTGTTGTCCCCGAGTCTCTCTCCGTCGTTTCCTCACAAAGCTGGTCATATTTCGGCTGTAATCATTCGTAGCTCGGCTCTGCTTCATCGCGCACAACGCAACGAATGGATGCATCTCCTCATTACTCGTCAATTACGATCTCTTCGTCCTCGGCGTCCCCCGTTTCTCCGGCGGCTGCAGTTCGTTGGGTCGACGGTTCGTCCCGCGACTTGCCTTGTTCGTCCTGCAAGTCTGACCGTTCGTTTGTCCGTCCGTGAGTCCCGACGGCTGACGGGCAGGCTGCCGTCGCAATTCTGCCAAATGCATACAGACGAGCAAACGAATGAGAGCCGGTGCGAGCAGGCCGGTGAGGAGAACAATTAACATTGAACGAGACGACGAAACAACTATTAGCATTCTCAGCCAGTTTGTTTGCTCGAGGGTTGAACGGCGGCCGCGACAGGAGAACGAACGATCGAATCAGAAACGAACAGAAGAAAGCGAGAGCGAGTGAAGAGAGCTCACTTATGAGATGTCGTCTTCCCATTGCTCCGTCGTGCTCCTAGTGAAGCCTCACAGATCGGATGCCCATAGAGTCCGTTCGCTTCGAGCTTTGAAATTTGGTCGAATCAAGATCACGAGGTACTGTTTCTCTACGTGCCCGATTCGGGATCCATGTCGCTGACGCCCGCCCCTCAAAATAGATTTTCTTGTTCCTTCACTACAAAGCAGAGTGGAGTCGAGCGGGCTCCGACTTGGTAGAGAGCTCACGTGCGAACTTCGGGCCTCCTCGGAAACTGCATAAAATCTAAAGGAAACGAATCGAGTTTTCTTTGGAATATGCGTGAGCACTGGAGCGTTTCCTAAGAATTCTGGGACTGAAGTGTTCCCCGAGCACGAGCCAGAGGTCGAGGGACAACCTCCGTATTTTCCCCTCCTCCCTCCATCGAGCAGTCGATCTCTGCGGACGGTCACGGCCGAGGTAGGCCTAGAGCTGATTTGACGCATCTCAGTCGACGAAAAATAAATACAGAACAGCTGGCGAAAGAAAACGTGTGTCGAGCAGCTTGCTGACCGCCCAGCTTGTTTTGCATGAGAATTAGTCTCGCCAGCTGTAAGGGCAGAGAACTCGTTCGTCTAGCCATTCGGGTGGGCTTCCCCCTCTGAGCAGAGTTACATAACACGCCCTCGTTCGGTGCTCGAGAAGCTTCCTTCCGGGGGAACGTCCCCAGTTGGAACCTACCCCGTCGACCTCTCCCCGTGTCCGCCATGCGAATCGCATCTATTGCCCCCCCCCCGCTCTGCGTGTCCACGTGTGCCAGGATTGTCCACGATTCCAACTGCACGGACCGCCGGCCCCGAGTCAAAGGATTGAATAATGAACGAATCTTGTACTTCTGATGAATAGGGTCATTGCGTTTACTCACTCGTTCGTGTTGAGTGACTGACTTGCTCGTTTCCTCTCCCCATAGTTAATTCCGCTTGTTGGTGAACGAGTATCGACAAAAACTGCTGCTTGCACGGCACCGCTGCCATTCAACTACATACAGAGTAGTCGGTTTGTTCCCCCACTCGGCACCCTGACGGCCGGAAAAACGAGTACTACGCGAGAGAGCGAAGGGGAGAGCCCGGAGGAGCGTAGGGGGTCGGACGACGATGCGAAGGAAAAGTCCGGGACGGAAGGCAATGGGAGTGCCATTAGATGACTACATGCTCCAGCTAGTGGGTAATTTCTTGTCCGTTTTCTTCCCTCCCGTCGTCTCGACAAGTTTCGCTTACGACCGCTTGACGCTTCCATAACTCTTCCCGCTAATGAGTCCGACAATTCTGAGCGACAGCCGCCTCTCCCGCGGTTCCGCTGCCGTCGCCGTTGACCGCGACTCCGAGGTGCCGCTACAGAGGAAAGATAATTTCCCGTACCGTTCATTTCCGCACCGTTAATTCGTACGCGGATCCAAGAATAGACACATCGAGAGCCCGCCCGCCCGCCGGCCGAGGAAGTCTCAGTCAGTCACTGTCCAAGCGAGCGCTGACGAGGTTTCGAACGAATTCTATACTGATTGAAGAAGCCTCAGACATTGGGCGTAAAACCGAGGGAGCGACGCGCCCGCCAGCGGAGCTGAACCAATGGCGCCCTCGACATGATCTCAAGATAAGAATTTATCGCTTGAAACATCACCTGTGCGCGTTTACTTCCGACTGATTGAGAATAGCGCGAGAGCTTCTGAGTTTATGGAGATCGTAGAACTTTTATGAGCTATACCACGAAAGAAAAAGGAGCACTCCAAGCTATGAAGAAATATGAAGCCCTCAGAGGCTGGTTCACCACCGTGCGCAGATTTTGCTGATTGTATCCCTGACACGCGGGTTCCTCCGCAAGTCTGCTTGTTAGGCACACAGTGACGCCACGAGGACCGCCGTCGCCATCGAAGAAGAGTAAGTACGCTTCCCCTCCCCCTGCCCCCCTCTCGACTCGATGACCACCTAGGGGCAGAGGAGATCCTCACTCACTCGGTCAGTTTTTCTCCGCATGCCTCCCGCGCAGGATGCGATGCAGCTGTTGACAGCTGCCCATGAATAGCTTACGCGGCCGACAACGCAGAGCCGACGATGCTGCGGTCGCTACGGCGGCCGACAACGAATACGATGCTCGCTTTCCCTCATAACGCCTCCATCTTAAGAACAATGAGGAAACTCGGCGACGAGGGGATTCGTTTCTTCGTTCGTTCCATCGCTTGCTCGTAAAGACGCTCGTTGTCACGCGAGATAGCATGAGGGGAATCAGCTAGCCAGTTAGCTGCTTGCCGTCTGTTCGTCCGCCCGTCCGCTCGCTTCGAGCGTAAGAATGACTCGCGAGCTCACTTGATCGCATGCGAGCGAGCAGGGAAAGAGTCGCGACAGGCGAGAGCGTGGATGAGGCAGCGAGAGAGTGAAGGGGCATGCTACTTGTTTATGGTACGAACTTCTTAGTTAGGGACAGGCTTCGTCGCGGAATCCTCCGTTACGCCCCTCGCCGAGAGCTGATTCTTAATTGACTGAACAAGGGGCTGTCTTCCAGGCCGAGAAATGCGGCGATTCGACGTATTGCTAATGACCCGGCACATTAGCAGGATGCATCCGTTGAATTTTGCGCTTTCTCCTCCCAAAACCCAAGGAGCTGCCACTTCATCCGAGTTTAAAAAGCCGCTTCGAGGATCGTGTTGGGAAAATGAAATCAACGAGATCAGCTCCAGGCTCCAGGGGCCCGGGAGAAATAAAGCTGCCAACTTTTCCCGCTGCAGAAGTCGTTTTCGTTGTTGAACTGCCGTCGCCATCGTCGCTGCCGTCGAAAGCAATGTTCGGTTGGCTGGCGAACGGCTGCGCTTTCCCCTCTTGCGTTGTCCTCCTTTTCCCGACGTCCCCTTCCTTTCTCCTTCTCCCTCTTGCCAGACGCCAAGCCGAGTCTAACCGAAGCGACTCCCGAGAAAGGAACCACTTTACGACATTCTTTATAAGCTTGTCGACTCACTCGGAGCTTTCCGTCTCGTGTTTGCGTCGCGGAAGCTCTCCACCCGTTTTTCTCACCGTCGACCCCATGTCCCCTCCAATTTTCTCGGCACCGATGTGTTGACGTTTCCGAGTATTGATATTTCTCCGCGGTGTTGCACTTCGTTCTCCTCGTCTTCCGAAAAGGTGGAAACGCGACATTGCGGCTCTCTCAAGACATCTAATCATGTCGTAGTCACCGATTCTCTAGTTTCAGAAAGACGTAGATTGATGTTGTCGTACCTGAGTCTCAAGTGAACCTAAGTTTTGCGATTCGAACCATGGGAGCTGATTGGAGCTGTCGGAGTGCAACACAAACTCACTCGTTCTGCGGGGAGGCATTAGGCGGAGCTCAGTTCGATGCAGAAATTAATTCGAGATTCGAGCGGTAGATATCACGGAACTTGCCGGGAACCCTAAGTCGACGAGGTTCCCTATTCCAGGGTCGAGCTCGCTCCTCGGTCCCATATCTGGCACCGCCGAATTCAGCGGCAGTCGAGGGTGCCTGCCCCAATCCGTAACTACCCTGGATGCGATTCTGAGCATGTTGACAGCATAGAAATTCTCCCGCTCCCAGAACCCAAGCCTCACGACTTCATAGAGTTTTCTGTTCTCGAATAATTCTTTGTCGACCCTAGCTTTCAGGCCTCTTCTTGGTCAAATAGAAAATCCGATAGCTTCGAAATCGACGTCAGCGAGGACGGCAGAAAGAGTGCAGCCGGGCTCGTGTAGAGAACTCGTCTCAAATTTCAATTTTTGTCGCGACAGCGGAAGTACATGCGAGCAAGAGGTCGGAAAGAGGCGGTGGAACGACCGTTCGGAAGCGTCCTGAAGCGCATCCGGATTGACAAACCTCTCGGTCGCCACAGTCGCAGATTCCGGTGTCAAATCGCGGCCACCCATCCCGACCCCGATCCCTATAGCTCCGGGTTCGCCTGTGTTTTGAAGTTGAAGAGAGGAACGCATCGGATCGCGAGCTAAGGATTCGTCTGGGTTTTCCGAATTCGATAATTGATGCCTTATTTCGATTCATGCTCGATGATGAAATCATGATATCCAGAATCATCTGCCGTCATTTCAGTCGGTAGAACAGGAATGGTCTCCGACTGGCGACCCTGAGCCGGCGCATCGGGATCTCACACAAACCTTCGCTGGCTCAAACCCAGAGAACTCTCGGAGGCCGCTCGAATACACGCCATATGTTCG